GCTGCAGGCCCTCCCCAGAGCCCTAGAGGGTCTTCTCCCGGTTCATCCTGACTCCCATTTCATCTTCCTGGCATCAGTTCCAGGCTCCTGGTGTGGATGAAATATTATTTTTCTTTGCCATTCCCTCCCCAGCTTCTCTCCCTCTCCATCCAGGAGCAGTCTCTATTTTCTGGGAGAGACCGCCTTAGGCAGGGAGCGAAGCAGAGCCAACCCGACCCGCCTGTGCAGGTGGGTGTCCTGGGTCCAGTCACAAGCTTAGTTTCCTCCTGTGTAACACGGGGCTTTTAGATCACAGGCGTTGGTCAACATTCAACACGCGCCTTCCCTTTTGCTCTTCTCCAGCAGCTTTTGAGACTCAGTGAGCAGCTCTGAGAACCCAGAGTCCTCAGCTGCACCCTGAGAAGAGTGGTCCCGATCTGCCCTCTTCCCACAGGGCTAACACCCTTTCTCAGCTCAAGAAGACTGAGGGCGCAGAAGGGTGCAGAAGGAGCAGAGGTGTCTCCAGGACAGTGGTGGCCCATCTTAGACATGGTGGGCTAGGCCAGGGACTAACGCCAAGAACCTTCCTGGCAGGAAATCCCAAAGGCCCCGTGGCGGAGTGTCCGGGGAGACACGGGGCTTTCTGCCGCAGGTCTCTGCCTGCCCAGGGCCTTGAAGGACAAGGGAGCAGAGAGCAGTGTTGCTTCTCTGCCAGGCCTGAGTGAAGGTCAGAGTGAAGGAAGGAAAGAATCTCCAGCGCCCCAGGAGGGGCAGGATGTGAGATCTGGCCAGGGGAGGGGGCCGGGGGCCGGGGGCGCCTGGGGCAGAGAGGAAAGGCCTGGGCTAAGGAACTTCGTGCCTTTCCTTCTCCTAGGACCCTCCTGGCCTCCCTGGGAAGCCGGTTATAATGTATCATTTCACAGATGCGGTAGTTGGACGTCAGGGCAAGGCAGAGGGAAAGCCTGGAAGCAGCAGGCAGAGGTTGAGGAAGTCTCCATTCAAGGCCCTAGAACCAGGCCTCGAGGCCCAAGGGAACAAACTAGGGGACAGATAGAGGACAACAGGCAGGAGGCCTCTGCAGAGGACAAAGCTGCCTGTGCGGAGGGAGGGCCAGGGTGGGACAGAGCGCCGGTCTCTTCCCCACTGCCTCTCCTCCTGGGTCCCCTGGGGAAGCCGCGCCCTTTCTCCTGGGCCAGGATGGAGGCCCGGAAGGTGAAGCTCACATTTAAACCTTCGTTAGGGAAATAAAAGATAATGGGCTTTAATTACTGCTCGTTAATCCAATTAACAAAGCTAATATATGTAATAAGTGGTATCAGTTATCAGCACAAATCAGTTAACATGGCCAATTAAAGGGGTTGGTTATTTAAATAATGAATGTGGCTGATTCACGGGGCTGATTTAGCTCAATTGTCACTATTATTTATTAATTGATTTCACCACTAATATTGGAGGGGATGTGTCTTTTAACTCTATAACATAAGGAATAAGTTAATTAATTAATGCTGCCCAGTGTTTAGAAATGAAAGCTTTGATTCCTGGCTTGCTCATTACAACAGGAGGGAGAATGTTCTAGAAATCTCCAAGCGAACTGAGATCTGAAGTCTAAGTAGGAATTGCTCTGGCCCTGAGGAAAAGAGGAGGGTGAAGACAGAGGAAACGTGACGCGTGAAGGTCCTGAGGCGGCGCTGCGCTCCTCCGAGGACGCGCCTCAGAACGCAAGGGAGAGTCAGCGGAGGGGGTGGGATGGCCGGCCACGGTGGGGCTGAACCCCTGTGAGGACTAGATTTTATCCTTAGGGTTGCAGGGGTGCTGTGACAGTCATTCTTTCACACAAAAAAATCCTTATGAGGTGCCTGGCGCCGCTGTAGGCAGGTCTGAGTCCCTGCCCTAGTGGAGCCAAGGGTATGGTGAGAGGAGACAGGCGGCGCCTGGCACGGTGAGCCAGAGGAAGTGCTGCGGGGAAGGGTGCCGCAGGGCTCGGGGGCGGGAGCCTGCGAAGGCCACACGTTTAGGTGGGTGGCAGGGGAGGCCTCACTGAGAAGGGGTGGAGCTCAGCGGATATCTAGAGGGAACGTGTCCCAGCAGAGGGAACGGAAAGTGCAAAGGCCCTGAGGTGGGGGCCGAAGCAGGCGAGACGCCCAGCGTGGCTGGAGCGGCGCCGTCAGCCGCTGGCTGGGGGAGGTGGTGAGGCTGTGAACGCTGTTATGAGAACTTTGACTCTCACTCTGAGTGAAACTGGGGGCCACTCCGGTGGGTTGGGGCAGAGAAAAGCTGTGATCTGACTCATTTTAACAGGACCTGCTTGGGCTGCTAGGTGAGACCGAGTCACAGAGGGGAACAGATAGAGGCCAGCGACCACAGTCTGGGCTAGTGATGGCAATGGGTGTACGAAGACGCGGCCACTCTAGTCTTGGAAATCCGGGAGTGCTGTAGACGGGCAGGGGCAGGCGATGGAGGCTGAGTGCTGCCCAGGTCCCCAGCTTCCCTCTGCCCTGGGCACCCGCCACCGGTGCAGGCCCACCCCACCATCCCGCCATCCCCTCTGGTCCCTGGTGCAGCCAACCCCTCCCCAAGGCTCTGCTCACCCGCAGCCCAAGGGGAAGTGGACAGGAAGCAGGAGGAAACGCTGGGGTGATCCCAGTGTCCTGGCCAATGTGTTCCCATCAATGGAAGGATTTCCGGGCTTGAATGGCCGGAAATGCTGGGACGGGCTGCCTCACCCGGGAAGAGCAGTGGAGGCGAGCAGGGCAGGGACCCTCATCACCCAGCAGGGAGACCCCAAGGGGCTTTGGAAGCCTGCTGTGCTGTGGCTGGGCTGCAGCCCGTGGCTCTATAGTTCCAGCAAGGTCTTTACGGGAGGGGAGGTTAGCGACCTGAGGACTGCAGAATGTCACAGCAGGGGGGGGCGGCCACGTGCCCTGCTGCTCAACGCGGAGCCCCAGGCCTGGGCACACCCAGGACGGAATTCTGCCCCAGGAACATGCACCGTAACCACAAGTTTTGTTTTGTTTTGTTTTGAGCTCAGCTTTTTGTTTTGTTTTAACTTTATTTTATTTTATGTGTGACATTTAATTTTTAATTGCTTTTTAGAGGAGAGAGAGAGAAACATCGATTTGTTGTTTCATGTATAGAGGCACTCATTGATTGCTTTTTGTATGTGCTCTGACTGGGGATCGAACCCGCAAAGCTTGGCGTATTGGGACGATGCTCTAACCAGACAAGCTACCCAGTCAGGGCCACATTTAAATTTAAATATTGCACTTCTCTATGTGAGGAAGCAGTTCCCCAGTGTTCCACCTTCTGCCTTATTTTGTGGATGGGAATACTGAGGCATTCACAGAGAACCAGGGCCTAGCCTGACAATAATAATGACAGCGATTAACACGGATTGAATGTTTAGCATTCATGCATTCCTTTGAGCAATAAATATTCCTTGAGCTTCTTCTGGGTGCCAGGCACTGTGCTGGGGCCTGGGATCTCAACAATGAATAAGACAGAGTGGAGTCATTGGGTAATTAATAGTCAACAGATAAGTGTCAAGTGATTATTCTGGGTAGGGATCGACAGCGTGAGGAAAATAAAGCAGGGTGGAAGGAGCAGCAAGCGCCAAGGCCCTGTGGCAGGAATGAGCTTGACAAGGAGGCCAGTGTGGCTGAGGCAGAAGGAGGGTCAGAATGAGGGAGGGAGGCACCGGGAGGGGCTTGGCAAGGTGGCCAGCTGAGCACCACTGGGCTACACAGGGCCATATAGATCAGGGAACATACTAGCCTATTTTTCTGGCATAACAACGGCACTCTGCTCTCACAAGGGAAGAAGCGCTCTGGTTTGGGTGATGATCGACATGGTCAGCCATCTGCATTTCACGGAGAAGGGTTTAGATTTTGTTCTCCGAGAGATGGGGCGGTTGGGGACGGCCTGTGTGCCTGGGCTGCTTAGGTTCTCGCCATCGTGGCTGGGGTGGCGGAGAGCGAGCCGGCCGAGGGCTGTGAGAGCGAGCCAGGGAGAAGGCCGCTGTGCGCTGCGGGAGGACACAGAGGGCGGCCCAGGCGGGGCCCCGTGGGCGTGGAGAGGCGGTCAGGGTCTGCTGTGAAAGTGGACCTGCGGGATTTCCGGGCGGACTGTGTGCGGAGTGTGAGTGACAGGGGGCACAGGTGACCGTGGTTCTTGCCAAACAAAGCGACCAGAAGAATGAAACTGACATTAACTGATATGGGAAGTGGGTGTGGGGAGCGGGGGGACCCAACAGCCCTGCTTTGGCTATGACAAGTTCAAGATGACATCAGACATCCTAGAGGAGGTGCCAAGGAGGAAGTTGGGTTTATGAGTCTGGTGTTGAAGGGACTTCAGAGAAGGGATGACATTGAAGGTCAAGGACTGGGGGGAGAGGCCCTCATGAGGAAGGATGATGTTTCTTTATCACCTGGGAAAAATAGCCACCCCGGCCTCTGGCTCCTTCAGGCGCCATCCTGGCCACCCCGAAGGCAGAGGGGATCAATTCCACAGCCACCTGTCTCCAGCATTGGCACCACCATGTGTTAGGCAGCCACTGAGTGGATCACTCTGCTCTAGGGATGAGTGCTGGGCAGGAGGAGAAGAGGCTGAGCCCCGCCTGGGGCCTCCGGCCACCGAGTCAGGGAGGGGTGGAGGAGGGCGCCAGGAGAGCCCCGAGCTCTGCGGCGGGTGAAGACAGCGGTCCGGGAAGCAGGCCTCATGTGAAGCACAGAACATTCATCAGCTCCCTGAGTCCTCACAGCAGCCCCATGAGGCCGAGGCTGTCGCGGTCCCCTGTTAAGAAATAGGAAACCCCAGGCTCAGAGAGAGGACTCGCCTAGCCAGGGTGCCACGGCTGGAGAGAAGAGCAGCAGCCAGGCCAGCAGCGTCCGGCAAGGGTTCTCAGCTACAGTGTCCCCTGTGGCCTTCAGGGGAGCCCTCTGGAGCCCTGAGGGCCAGGTGCTGGCATCAGGCAGGTGAGCAGAGGCTGGCAGCTGGGGACACTCACCTCTCTCCTTTCCTTCCAGGGCTGCGGGGGAGCCGGAGGCCAGCGAGGACTATGTGAAGGTAAGAGGGGCTGGGCAGGGGACGCTGGAGGCCTCAGAGCTTGTTCCAGGAAGGGCAAAATCATTTTCTGAGCCTTGTTAGGCGCCAGGTCTCACTGTCCGTCCCCAGGAGGAGAGGGTCTCGGGGTCAGGCAGCACTTGGGCTCTGGTTTCTCTCCCAGCATCTTCTTCCCCACGCCTGCCGTCCTTCTCCCCTGGCCCCACACTCAGGACGCCCCGTGCTTGTTACCGGCAGACCCCGCCCCGCTGCCAGCCAGACAGTGCCCCAGGGGCGTGGGGATACAGAGACCACGGGCGCTCTGATCCCACCCCATCTGCGAGCGTGCGCTGGTGGTGGGAGGCGAGAGCAGGAAAGGGTGACTCAATTCTCCATCGCAGATAACGAGCACAGCTCACATTTACTGTGAGCTTAATTGGTCCCAGGAGCTGAGAATATTGAAAATGCAGTTTTGAAATAATGATGATAGCAACAATGATGTGACATAACATTTCAAGTGCCTACTGTGTGCAGAGCGCTGCGCTGGCTGCAGGGACGGGAAGGGAGACAGCGTTGGTCTTTTTGTGTGAATGAGGTCTTTGGCCTCTTCCCTCATCCTTACGCAGTGAAGGTCCTCCTGTGCCCACTGATGGATGGGAAACTTGAGGCCCGGGGAAGCGCAGTGACTTGCTCACAGCCCCACAGCCACTGCAGGCGGAGCTGGGCTTGCAGTCCAGGTTTTCCTGATACCAAGACCATGGACAGAGCCCTGGGCCGTCCACCTCCAGGAGCACCCACCCTGAGCCAGGCCCTGCTGGGTATGGAACATGCAGCAGAGGGCCAGGGGCACCACGCGCTGTGTTCAGAGAGCCCCTGCTCCATGTGGAGGCCAGAGCGGAACCACACAATGGTTCGGGCTTGTGTTTTGTAATCCAGCAGATCGTAACTTTAGTCCCGGGGCTGCCGCTTATTTGCCACGTGACTGAATGTGTGTGTATGACTTCTCTGAGCCTCAGTGTTCACCTATGTGAAGTGGGATAATAGTAGCCCCTCCAACCCAGGGTTGCTATGGGCTCAATGAGTCCAGGGGAAGTTGGGCCAGGGACAGAGCAGGCTGGCCTGGCTCCTGACCCCAGGGACATTTCATCACCTGAGGTGCTGCCTGTAACGTTCTGTGTAAGGGACCAGTAATGAGGCAGTATGGGAAGTTCTCAGATTGCTGTCCCTACCATCACTGGAAGCCTCATGGAAGAAGCCATTGGAGCTCCAGAAGTTGGGGATGACTTTCAGCTCAGGAGCCGGGGAGGTGAGGGAGCACATCAAGGAGGGCTTTCTAGAGCAGGAGGCCCTGAATCCAAGCCATTGCTGTTGACTGGGAACATTCATCAACATCTTCTCCCCAAATGAAAGGCAAGAAAAGAGAGAGAGATGAGCAGAGATGGGCAGTGAAGTGGTCCAGGCAGAGGCGAGAGTGCAGGCAAAAGGTCAGAAGGCGAGCCGGGCAAGCCCAGGAGGTACGGCCTGGGGCTGCAGTGAGCCACACAGGAGCTGCTCCTGGAACCTGCGCCCGGCTCCTCCTCCAGCGCTTCACACCCCGGAGGCAGGGGCCTCAGGGAGCATCAGCCCCGAAGTCAGCTGGTGGAGCAGCGGAAGGGGCGTATTTCAGCACCCCTCAAGTCCCAGCTGCTTGGCAAGGTGGTGAGCTCCCTGTGGGGATTATTAGCTTTGTATTGTCCCTTAGTTTATGGGGCTAAAAAAAGTAATTAAAAATATAAAAGAAATGCACTGCCCTGGCTGGTGTGGCTCAGTGGATTGAGTGCTGACCCAAAGGGCCCCGGCTCGATTCGCAGTCTAGGGCACATGCCAGGGTTGCCGGCTAAGTCCCCAGTGGGGGGCGTGCGAGACGCAACTGCACATTGATGTTTCTCTCCCTCTTTCTCCCTCCCTTCTCCTCTCTCTAAAAACAAAATAAACAAAATCTTTAAAACATAAAAATAAAAAAGAAATGTACCTGCTCACTGAAACTGATTAAACAATCTCCTCAAGGGATGAAGTCAAAGGAATGTTAGTTTTAGCTTCAAGCCTTAGGGTGGAATGGTCAGTTTGCAAAAGTCCATTTCCTGCCCTGAGGTTCTCAGCTTCCAGAACTCCAGGATTCTCAGACCATGAAGTGAATACTTTTATTCTAAGGCAAGAATTCTAAAGTCCCAAAACCATAAAATTCCAAGCTCCATGCTCAGAGCGTCAGATATATTTGCAGAAAACAGTCAAATACACCTGAGGCCCCAAGAGGTGGAACTGAGGTCACCTGTCTGAGGTCACACAGCCTGTCAAAAGGATTTGAACCCCAGGCCTGACCGATGTGGAGTCAGTCATGACTCCCTTTGCATTGAAGAGCCCATGACTCTAGGACAGAAAGTCCAGATTCTGGCACTGAGCTTGGACATAACAACATGCATTTACTGAGCACTTACTTTACGCCTGGCAACTTCCATGGGTCAGCTCAACCAATGCTCACAAGAGCTCTGTGCAGCCAGCACAGGTGCGCTTTGCAGGTGAGGACATCTGGGCTCCAAGAGAAGGAGCTGGTGGTTGGAGGTGGGAGCACCGCCGGCTGAGTCCAGGTCGGTGCCCTCACCGCTGAGCCCCCCTGGCTCCGGGCACCCCCAGAAGTTGTCGGTCGAGCATCCCGCAATTCTCTGCAGAATCCCTGATTCCAACTCGGAGATGAAAAAATCCTGGGCGCTGGCAGATTTTCCGAGGCCACAAAGGATTTGGTCAAACGCGCACAGCTATTTTTCCAGCTTTAGACAGGGTTTAATTCAAAGTCTCTGCCTGCGCCGGGTCAGTGAGGGGTGCAGCTAATGGAGGAGGAGGGACTACCCTCGCCGGCCAGGGGGTCCCCACCCCGTCCCTCTATCCCTCGTGATGCCCCCCTTGGCAGGTCCTCTGCTTCGCATCCCCCTGCTCCAGGCAGCCGGGGCGCGCGGGCTGGAGCGCAGAGCGGCTGCGGGGCGGGGGGCGAGAGGGGGTGGAGGGAGGAACAATAGCCCCCTCCCCTCCCCTGGCCGGCTGGAGGGTGGGGTCTCCCAGCCCCGCCTCCCTGCTCCTCCCCCGACAAGGCGATGAGGTAATCGCGCCGCCGAGAGGCACGCTCAGCCGGTGCCCAGCCCGGTCGGTCCAGCGCCCCTGCCCGCCGGCCGCCGCCCCCTGCACCGTCCCGGTCCCGGCTGCCCGGCCCCACCATGACCGAGCGCTGCAGCCTGTGGAGCGCCCTATCGGCCGCTGCCTGCTGCTTCTACCGCGGCTCCTTCGTGCAGGTGCAGGTGAGGGGGCGGCTTGGCCCCTGCCAGGCGCTCCGGGCTGGGACCCCGGCCGCTCTGTCCCGCCCCGGGAGCCGGAGTCCCGTGGCGCCGTTCAGGGTCCTGCCGGGCAGGGGCTGCGAGCTGAGGGAGGGGGCGGGGTCGCCCCGGCTTCACCTCTGGGAGCCTGACCCTCGGGGTGAGGGTCCAGCTGCCACTCCGGGCACTCAGGACTGCGGGGGGACTGCCATTCTGGCCCTGCCTTCTCCGCAGGAGAGAGCTGAGCTGGGGCATTGGGCATCAGGAGATGGGGTTCTGCTGATCCTCCCGAGAGCACTCTGGTCCCTGCGGCTGACCTGGGCAGCCTGGCTCCCCATTGTATCGGGGTGCTGAGCTGGGACCAGAAGGTGCCTTGCGGGGCGGAAAGCTGAGAGGATGCTGCGGGTGCCCGGGGCTGGGGCCAGAGCGCCTGCCGCTCTACGTGGGCTGGGGCGTGCTCCCGGCGCAGGTCTCTCAGCTCAACTGGACAGGCAGTGCCGGACGACACCGTGGCGGTGAAAGGGTTAAACGGAAGGGGGTGGAGGGGAGGACCCGGACCCCGCCTCTCTGCGGAGCATCATCTGTGTCTGGCTTTGCTTGGGGTTATGAGACTAGAAGAACTACAGGGGCCTTGCTGGCTGGTGGGAAGGGGGTTAAGACCCTGACCGTGGGTCTCCGTGCTTTTGCCTCCAGTGTCCCTGGGGGACGCCAGGCACATCACCTCTGCGCTCCGCTAGCTCACACACGCTCCGAGCCCGCCTGAATGACGGCCGCGGCTGAGCGCAGCATCCCTGCACCAGCCAATCAGGCGCGCGCAGGTCGGGAGGCGGTGAGATCATCTCTGGCCAATAGCAGTGCTCTGAGCGCCGGGATGCTGCATTCGCGCCCCAGCCCTCCCCCTCCTGGGCGCTGGGGACCCCCTCGGTCGAGGGTGAGGAGCAGGGCTCAAGGGACCCTAGGGTTCCCCACCTTCTGGTGTGTGGGAGGACCTCGTTGGTCCCCCCAGATTCTCCCAGACCATGGATTATGGCTGGAAAAGTGGAGCCCAGTCTTCCACTCCCACTCACAGATGAGGCTACCCAAGTCCAGAGAGGGAAAGTGGTTAACTCAAGGTCACACAGTGGCAGGCAGTCTTGGGGCCAGGTTCTTTACCACGCGGCCCCCTCCCCTTCTTTGCCCCATGTTCCTCTTGCCTCAGCTGTTGTACTGGGGCTAATTCTCAACTGCATGTTCTTTGTCGAGGAGAGGGACCCCAGAAGGCCTGAGTCCTCCTCCCTCCTCAGGGTGGGGCATGGTATAAGGAGGGAGGTCAGGGGCCCTGAAGCATAGACGACCCGTGGAGATGTGCAGGTTTCGAGAAAACTCAAATCTCTTTGCAGCCCCGGGCCTCCCTGCCCTTCCCACCTATTACTTTCTACCCTGGGCAAAGCATGTGCAGAATCTTCATGTTTTCCCTCCCTCCCTCCCAAGCACCTACTTGTCCACATCACCCACCTCACCATCTGTCCCCAGAGCCTTACAGCCTCCTGAAAGCAAAAATATTCATGGGCCCATCACCAACTGCTCCTGCCCCAGCCTTGCACCTCAGAGAGCACCCTGCTGTCCTCCCAGGACCTCTGCCTGGGTCCTCTCTGACCCCCCTGTGCTCTTGCCCCACACCCGACCCATGGCTCCCTAAATGCTCTCCCCGCCCCCATTCCCACCCCCATGCCCCGCCTGCCCTACCAGTGCCTGGAAAACACCAGACCGCTTTCCACACCGCACACCGAACCCGCTCCAACACTTCCAACACCTCCTGTGGCCTCCGGATAAACCCCAGCTCCCAGGGCAGCCTCACATCCCTGTCACATCTGCCCCGCCACTCTGGCCCCTTCGGTGCTTCTTACCACGCCCTCTGCCCCCAGGGCCTTGGCTCTACCCGCAGGGCCTTGCCTTTGCCAATGTCTTCCCAGCAGCTCTTCCCTGCCTGGTCTGCCTGCCTGCCTGTCCCCATCCTGATGCTTTTGCTGGGCTCACCCAGCCCTTCTCCAGGCCTCAATGGAAACATCTCCTGTTCAGGGACTCCCCTCTGACTAGATGAGGAGGGACGCTTTCATCGGCTCCCAGTGCCCTCGGTGCACCTCTGAACGTTCAGAAAACCTGGAGTTGCTTCTCAGGGTCTACATGGCTCTCCCGGGGCAGAGGCTACCTGTCCTGATGGCCTTGGGGCCTCAGCCTCTGGCACAAGGACCTGTCTCAGAGGGAGACTCAGATTTCTATCCATCTCTGAAGCTGGGACTCGGGGCGTCCTGGGTGCAGTGTAGGTCAAGGGAAACGGAGGCAGTAGGGGAGCAGAGGGGTGGAAAGTAGAGCTGCACAATCAGGCTCTGAGGCCTGTGGAGGGCATGAGGGGGCAGGGAGTGGACTGAAGGGCCCTTAAACCCTGGGGAGGAGGGGGTCCTGGGCGGAGACTGTCACCAGGGCTGCAGCCAGACCCTTCGCTGCCGCCCTTGCCTGACCTGCCATCTGGCCAGTTGCGGGCTGGGTCTGTCTGTCCTGGAGCAGTCATCTTTGGGGCCTGGAGTTGGGGGGAGGGAGGGGAAGCAATGTCACATGTCCTCACAGCGACGAGGACATCTGTGGGCTAGTCACAGCACTCTGGAGTACTGTCTCCTCTCATCCTTGCAACTCAGAGATGCAGGTTTTTATCATCATACCCATTTCACAGAGGAAAAAACGAGGCCCAGAGAACTCAACCGTACAGCCAGGAGTGGGCTGGGCTCTGTAGCTGGGTGCTCCGGACAGCAGGGGCTCCCCTCCCATTTCCCTTAGGCCTCCAGCCCCAGGCCACAGCAACCAGGAAACCAGGAGTGTCCCCCTATGGGCAGGCAAAAGAGGGGGAGCCCTGGGCATTATCTCCAGTCAGCGACCTTGGGCTGTCCTGCGGGGCTGCGGTTCCCCCAGCAGGCAAGCATTGCTTGAGACAGCAAGGAGGAAAGAGCCTCGGGAATCCTAAAGGACAACACAGATGGCTGTGTGGGGGCCTCTGCTTCCCTGCTTACAGCTGCCTCTTGTGCCGTTCTACTGTATAATTCACCACCCAGAACGTTTCCTTGTCCGTCCAGCCGTTTTTATCCACGCCTTTGCCAGTGTGTCTGCAGCCTACCTCCCAGATTTACCCGTAGAACTCCTTCCTCTACACCCCCCACTTCAAGATCAGTTTGGTGTCCTTGGTGCCTAACGGTGTTTGGTTATTGTCCTTTCATCCAGGAAGCCTTCCTGGACCACTCACCTCGCCTAGGCTGCATCTTCTAAAAGCCAGCGGACTCTGTGCCGCTGTCCAGTCCTGTGGTGCTGACCGCAGTCGACACCAATGCTCTGCAGCTTTTCCTCCCCTCTTAGACGAGGAGCTTCCCTGAGGCCAGGGCCTGGTTTATTTATTGCCTAACTTACTTACCCCTGGCACATTGTACAGGGCCTGCAAAAAACAGTAGGCATGGTTCGGTGGAATTAATTGAGATTTCTTTACTTCTGCCAGGATAGGGACTTCCATGTGAGGGCTTGCTGGCACCAGGGCCTAAGCATTCCCAGGGTCCCAGGACGGAAGGAGTTCTTCTGGTTAGGACTGTGAGGAAAGGAGAAATGGGGCTTTGGATTGGTGGCCAATTCTTCCTCCTTCCCACCCAGTTTTCCAAGGAGAAGTACATCTTGGATTCATCGCCTGAGAAACTGCACAAGGAGTTGGAGGAAGAACTCAAACTCAGCAGTACAGACCTCCGCAGCCACGCCTGGTACCATGGCCGCATCCCTCGTGAGGTGAGTGGGTCCCGAGCTGGGGCCTCAGCTCTGCCGTGCCAGACCCTACCCTGCCCAACCCCGCTCTGCCCTGCCTGATGCTATGCTGCCTGACCATTCATCCTGCAGGTCTCGGAGACCCTGGTGCAGCGCAACGGTGACTTCCTCATCCGGGATTCGCTCACTAGCCTGGGTGACTACGTGCTCACGTGCCGCTGGCGCAACCAGGCCTTGCACTTCAAGATCAACAAGGTGGTGGTGAAGGCGGGCGAGAGCTACACCCACATCCAGTACCTGTTCGAGCAGGAGAGCTTTGACCACGTGCCTGCCCTCGTGCGGTACCACGTGGGCAGCCGAAAGGCTGTGTCGGAGCAGAGTGGCGCCATCATCTACTGCCCTGTGAACCGCACCTTCCCACTGCGCTACCTGGAGGCCTGCTATGGCCTGGGCCAGGGCAGCGGCAAGGCTGCCAGCCCCGCCAGCCCCTCGGGCCCCAAGGGCAGCCACATGAAGCGACGCAGCATCACCATGACCGATGGGCTCACTGCCGACAGAGTCACCCGCAACGATGGCTGTCCCACCAGGTAAGCAAGGACCCCAGTTCGCTCTCGATCTCCCCATTTGTCAAGTGGGGGTGTCGGTAATGAGAGTGCTGGTGAGAAAGGGGAGGCCCAGCCACACTGGCCAGGGGTGAAGTGACAGTCCGGAAGCCTGGGCGTGCAGGGAGCAGGAGGGGGGGCAGGCGCCACCTGAGGCCGCGCGGCTCTGCGGGCACTCGGCCCAGGTGGCGGCCCCAGCGCTCCTTGGCCGGCTGCACGCCCTTGGCCCTGCCCTGCTCCTCTGACCCCCGTGCTCCTTCCTGTAAAGGCCCTCACTCAGACAGCCCCCTGGCCCAGGGGGAGCCCAGGGGGCTGTGCTGTCCTAAGCAGAAGGCCTGGTCCCTGCCACAGGGGCGACCCCTCCCCACCCCACCAAGGCAGGCATCAGAGCGGAGGGTTTTGCTGTTTGCAAACCACCACACGGGGAATGGAATGTTCCCAGTGACATTTTAATGAGACACAGTTGCCTCTGGGACTGCGTGAGACCAGGCCCTGATCCCAGAAGAAGACCCAGCAGCAAGTCCTTTCTAGGGCCCTCCTGTGTACCTAGCCTTCTGCTAGTGCTCTCCCTGGTCCTCCTGGGCGATGGCTCCTGTCCATACCCCCCACCCCCTTTATAGACGAGGAAATAGGCCTAGAGAGGGGAAACCGCTTGCTAGAGAGTGGTAAGCCCAAGATTCAAACCCAGGCCTGTGAATCCAAAGTCTGTGCCCCTCATTTCTATGGCCTCCCTGGCTGTTTGCAAAGAGACCAGCTGTCCGGTGTCGCTAACTCTCGGATAGGTCTCATCTCCCTGGGCCCGGGCTGCGTGCTGCCAGCCAAAGAACTGAGGGCCGGATACCCTGCGGACAGCAGCCACTTGGCCTGTGGTTTGGAACCAGCGATGGTAATGGTGCCAGAATCCACAGGCCGTGTGTGCCCAGGCATCCAAGCATAGTGTGGGAGCAGCGAGGAGGGAGGGGCTGGGCTGGCAGGCCTGACTCCCTCGGGCTTCCCTCCCTGCCTGCCAGCCTCCCTCCCCAGACGGCTCTCCAAGCTGGGGGCAAGGTTCCCAGGAAAGGGAGCAGTTTTCCAGGTTGTGGGCTGCGCGAGCCCTTCCTCCTCTGGGCTTCAGTTTTTGTACCTGTTCACTGGGAAGCTGGCCTTGATCGGCTCTCAGCCTTTTCTGCCTCTGAAGTTCAGCGGTCCTAGGATGGACGCAGAGGTGGGCATCCTCAGGCTGGCTGAGGACCCGGGCCTCTGGGCTCTCTGCTCACGAAGTCGTCTGCTCTGCAGCACATCACTGCCCCACCCCCGGGAATCCATCCGCAACTGCGCCCTCAGCATGGACCAGATCCCGGACCTGCACTCGCCCATGTCGCCCATCTCTGAGAGCCCCAGCTCCCCCGCCTACAGCACCGGTATGGCCAGTATGGGGGGGATAGGGACAGGTGGGGGGAACTGGGGGCGACGATCTTGTGTGTGCACGTGCTTTTGATGAGTTCTGTTACAGTGTGTTACTATGTATGTTTCTACCTCTTCTGAGAGCAAGTGCCTGCAAGAATTTACACTAAAAACCTGCTAGCGGGACTATTGATGTTGACATGCAAACAGATCAACGGCTGGCTCATTGCAGTGATTTATTCGGCCCCAGTTGGGCACTGTGCATAAAGTAGTTTCCAGTGCTTTCCAGTAGTTTCCAGAATGCAGTGAAATCTGCTGGAGGCTCACAGTGTTACTGCACCCAGGCTGTGCAGTGCACAGCCCCATTGGTCGCGCTCCTACTATGTGTAAGGCAAGTGTAGGGCGCTCTGCTGGGCCGTGCATTCACTGGGACTTAATGAAGCCCTGATTCCAAATGGCCGGCTCCAACCAAGCCACACTGTGCTTTTTGCATTTTTTTCTAAAACAAATCAGCAGACTTTATTTTTAGAGCAGTTTAAGGTTCACAGAGAAATTGAGCAGAGCGTACAGACACTGTGCTTTTTTTTTTTAAATACAAAGAAAATTTCTGTTGTAGAGACAGGCCACTAGTTAATTTCTAAAAGAAGAAGAAGAAAAAGAATGTTCCAACAGGCCACCTTGTATACTGTCCATGTGACGGGCAAAGGGCGCAGGCAGAGGAGCAGCCCAGGGGGAAGCTTTGCTGGGAATGTTGCTGTCTATATAGGTCGTCACAAATCCTTCCCCAGACACGGCCATCAGCTTTGTCCTAACTACACCATTGCCTTCAAAACAACACCCCTGAGTGGAAAAGTTAAAATTCCTTGCCAGAAATGATCAACTGGACAATTTCTAAGTGACGTGGCATACTCAAGTACCCAGGAGCCAGGTTTTAAATCCCAGCTCTGCCACTTGCTGGCTGGGTGACCTTGGGCAGGTCACTTCGCCTCCCTGAGCCTCAGTTTTGTCATCTGTAAAATGAAGATCATAAAAGTACTTACTTCACAGGATATTGCGAAGGTTAAAGGAACTAATGTCCAAAGAAGGATCTCACAGGCAATAAGAGCTCAAATCAGATCACCTCTGATTTTGGATGATGGTTTTACTGTTGTTGACCAGGGTATCTCCAGCATACTGCCAGCTCCTGGCACATGTGAGCTCACTAAATCATTATCACTAATTCATTGAGAAATAATTCCACGTGGCTCAACGAATCCCAGCAAGTGCTTAGCCTCCCAGAATCGCTGGAAGCTCCTCCAGGCTCCCCAAGGCTGCTGAGCTTAGGACGGGGCCGTGCAGACTCCTGGGGGCCGGTGATGTCAGAGTATCGCTACTCAGTTTGCTAGAGCCGCTGGGCCGGGCCTGGCCTGGGCACAGGGAAGCAGGGACATCATTTATGGGTGGATGGAGCCTGTCCTTTGGGAAGGGGGTGAGGAAACCTCACTGGGTGGCAGTCATGATAACTAGTCCTCTCTCTCTATCTCCCTGCAGTGACCCGTGTTCATGCCACCCCCGCAGCCACCTCAGCCACAGCGCTGCCCGCCTCCCCTGTCACCCGCCGCTCCAGTGAACCCCAGCTGTGTCCTGGAAGTACCCCAAAACCCCCTGGGGAGTTGGACAAGGGCCCTTATGCCAGCCCCTCCCACACCCTCTGCAAGGCCTCCCCGTCACCGTCACTCAGCAGCTACAGCGACCCGGACTCTGGCCATTACTGCCAGCTCCAGCCCCCCGTTCGAGGTAGCCGTGAGTGGGCAGCGGCTGAGGCCTCCAGCCGGCAGGCCAAGAGCTACGGGGAGAGACTAAAGGAACTGTCCGAAAACGGGGCTCCCGACGGGGACTGGGGCAGGGCCTTCACAGTCCCCATCATAGAAGCCACCTCCTCCTTCAACCCGGCCACCTTCCAGTCTCTACTGATCCCCAAGGATAACCGGCCACTGGAGGTGGGCCTGCTGCGCAAGGTCAAGGAGCTGCTGGCAGAGGCGGACGCCCGGACGCTGGCTCGGCACGTCACCAAGGTTGACTGCCTGGTAGGTGCTGCATGCACACTGGGCAGGGCAGCACGCCTGGCTTTAGGACGGGGATCGGGTGGTCAGGAGCTGGCTCCTCCGTTCCCTAGACAGTCAGTGGGCCTGGGTCCTGGCTTCATGGCGGTCCTTTACTGGCTGTGTGACTCTGGCCTGATTGCTTTGTCTCTCTGGGCCTCCATTTCCTCCTTGCAAAAAAAGCAAAAAAAAGCCCACAAGATATTCTTGCTTCCTCAAGATACCAGTTTGGCACTGGGAATGGACAGCGCTGAAACCCAGTGCTGTCTGACTTCGGGGGCACTTTCTGGGTCCAGGGAATGTGTAAGACCCAGCTCCCCGCCCCCACACCCCCTGGTGGACAAAATAAACAAAACTCATTACCAAGGCTCATAAATATCAAGCCCAGGGTGTTTGCTTTGAGTGAATCTTTGGCCATCTGCCGACCCCACCTCTCTGCACCTCAGTTTCTCCCTCTGAAGTTTGGGGGACAGTGATTACTTGTCTCCTTGGTCTCCAAGCTCCGGAAGCAAGAGAAGAGAGGGCAGAGATGTGGGCTCTAGGAGGAGCATCAGGGTGTGAAGGGAGCAGCCCTGGACTGTTGACCTGGTGTGTGGCAGTGGACAAACCCTATCACTCCTTGGGACTCAGGTTTACCTTCTGGAATAAGGTAGTCCTGGTCCTTAACCTTAACTGAATAGTTAACACGTCAGACACCTCTGGGAATTTTCCCATTTAGCCCCCATTTCACAGGTAAGGAAAATGAGGCTCATTTGCTCCACGTCAGAGAGTTAGCAATGGAGCTGGGATTCAAATATGGCCTCCCAGCCAGGCTGCCCTCCTTGATACAGCTTTCTGACTCCCAGATGGCTTGGGCCAGCCAAGACAGGAAATTAATCAGCCCTCTGGGCGTCCTTGCAGGTTGCTAGGATACTGGGCGTTACCAAGGAGATGCAGACCCTAATGGGAGTCCGCTGGGGCATGGAGCTGCTCACCCTCCCCCATGGCCGGCAGCTAAGACTAGACCTGCTGGAAAGGTAAGGCAACACCCCCACCCCCCGCCCCGCACTCTATCCTTTTGCTTTGGCCAGTCGGCCAGTCAGGTCTCTCAGCCCTGCTCCCAGGGGTTCTGGCCCCTCACTCTATCCCGTTGACCAATCGCAACTTGTCGTTATCAGCTCCGATCAATTCTGGTTTCCCAACGACCGAGTCCTTTAGGGACTCACCTTTGCATCCTCTTGACCAATCACAGCCCATGAATCTTGGCCCCGCCCATAAGCTCTCACACTCGGGTAGCGCCCACTAATCTCGTTGACCCTGTATAACCTCCCAGTTTGGTCTCTGCTCTCCACCCGCTCGGTGCCCAATCACGGGCAGTGACAGGAACCCTCCCTGCCACTCCCTGGGTCCTCGATCCCCCACGCCCCACCTGTCCTATCTGGTAGGTTCCACACCATGTCCATCATGCTGGCTGTGGACATCCTGGGCTGCACCGGCTCTGCTGAGGAGCGGGCAGCGCTTCTGCACAAGACCATCCAGCTGGCGGCTGAGCTGCGGGGGACCATGGGCAACATGTTCAGCTTCGCTGCGGTCATGGGTGCCCTGGATATGGCCCAGGTAGGGAGGGGCCCACGCAGATAGACTGTCTTAAAGAGCCCTGGGATGTGGAAGAGCTGAGTTCTCTAAGGGCTGACCTGCTTCAGGATCAAGTCTTCCCCCTTTTCTGAGCTTCAGTTTCCCCACCTGTAAAATGAATGAGGTGCATTATAGGCATATAAAGAATAAATATAAAATGGCTATCATTGAGTGAGCACTTGCTGGATGCTGGGTACTAGTGCTCCATTAAGTACTTTACAAGTACCAGTTCCTCAAAACAATCTCATGAGATAAATGTCTTTATTGTCCCCATTTTGCTTCTGGAGAAATTGAAGCAGAGCAGTAATTGCCTAAGGTCACACAGTCAGAGGCTGAAAAAGTTGGGGTTCAAACCGAGTCTGCCTAATTTCAGAGCCCGAACCTCATCACACTGCACTTCCTCTCCTCTGCCTAGTAAAGGGCCACCACAGGGTCCTAAAGGCAGCGGTCCAACGCCAGCTCTGCCGCTTACCTTGGGATGGCCCCGGGCAAGTCATTCCCTTCTCTGAGCCTTCCATCCCTCACCTGTAGACGGGGTTGCTGTGAGGGCGTCATGAGATCCTGTGAAAAGAAGTCGGTCAGCACCGCCCCCATACATGAGTGGTGACCGTAATGATTATTATCCCACATCTGGGTGTCCACTCAGCAGGGTGGCCCGCGGCCCCTTGAGGGCCCCTTCCCTGGCTGGTCGCTCATACCTGGTCTCTCCAGATTGCCCGGCTGGAGCAGACGTGGATGACCCTGCGGCAGCGACACACAGAGGGTGCCATCCTCTACGAGAAGAAGCTCAAGCCATTTCTCAAGAGCCTCAATGAGGGCAAAGGTACCTCCCCCATGTCGCTGTGTGACCTTGCCCAGGTTGCAGGCCTCTCGGGGCCAACAAAGACTTTCAAAGAATCTGAGAGGAAAGGCCTGTCCGGGAGTTAGAAGCCCTGGGGACTTCCTAGGGCCTCAGGCAGGCCGCACCCTTCCCCTCCTGCACCTCATTTCCGGGAGCACAGGGAGCAATGGAATTGCTTCAGGGTCTCTAAGAGCCTGCTGTCGCCCTCCTTGCAGAAGGCCCGCCGCTGAGCAACACCACGTTCCCTCACGTACTGCCACTCATCACTCTGCTGGAGTGTGACTCGGCCCCGGCAGAGGGCCCGGAGCCCTGGGGCAGCACGGAGCACGGCGTGGAGGTGGTGCTGGCCCACCTGGAGGCCGCCCGCACGGTGGCACATCACGGGGGCCTGTACCACACCAATGCCGAGGTCAAGCTGCAGGGTGAGTCACTGGCCCCTCCGGCCTGGGCCTGCCCCCACTTGCTTGCTCTCCCCTTCCCTCCGAACGTCCGTGCCCATTTGTCCACCCGTCTTTCCTCCCCCGTTCCCCTGACCCATTTTTCGCATCCCTTTTCTGCCTCACTCATTGGTTCAATGAGCAGTTGTCAGGGGCAGGCACCAGGTGGACACACATGATTCAGAGAGCATCATGGCTCTGTGTTTTAACTTCTCTGAGCCTCAGTTTTCTCATCTGTGAAGTGGGCTTCCTAACAGGTCTGCTTCATAAGGTGGTTTGCAAAGCGCTCGGCCTGGAGCCCTGGGGCTGAGGCACACCTGCCCTGGCCTCCCGGGTCTCTCAGTCTAGTCCAAGGTAGAGCTTTCCTCTGAGAGAAGCAGAGAGAATGTGGCCTTAGAAAAGTCATCTTTTATAGCTTTAGGCATTATTTAAGTCATAAAAGTTCATTGTAGACAAATTGGAAATTAAGAGCAAAAACAGAGTAAAAAAAATAAAAATCACCTACAATTACTCAGAGGTAAATGCTGTGGGCTTTCTGGTATATGTCTTTCCTGACTTTTTCTTCTTCAGAGAGAAAAAAAATTATTTTTTTTTTTTACATTAACTTACAATGTAATGTTTCTTAGGGAAAATTTTGGAACTTACAGAAAAATACAAAAAGAAAGGAAAAATTACCCAGGTCAACCCTCCAGTTAACATTAATATTTTATCTTCTAGTCATTTTTAAATTAGATGTTGCAAATGGCAGGGCAAAGACTAGGCACTCAGCTGTGTGGCCATGTTTATCAGCAAACCTTGTTGAATCTCTGGCAGAGACGGGGGGAGGTGTCCCTGGAGCGGGGCCCGAGGGATGTGGTAGCTCTGGCGAGAGCCCCAGCCCTCCCGAGCTGGATGGTGGTCCCCTAACCCTGTGTCCCGCCCTGCAGGGTTCCAGGCCCGGCCCGAGCTCCTGGAGGTGTTCAGCACCGAGTTCCAGATGCGCCTGCTCTGGGGCAGCCAGGGCGCCAGCAGCAGCCAGGCCCGGCGCTACGAGAAGTTTGACAAGGTCCTCACCGCCCTGTCGCACAAACTGGAGCCTGCTGTCCGTTCCAGCGAGCTGTGACCCCCATGGACCCTTCCCCTCTGTGGCTGCAGGCAGCATTGGGGACAGAGGGGCACAGACCTTTCCCCAGAGCACCCCAGGGACACTGTGATCAGCCCAAGAATGTTCTGGGCTCAACGCCAGGATCTCCCTTTCGCCTCCAGGGTTCTGCATGGGCTCTGGGCTCTGTCCCACTGACTACATGCTCACCAAGTCTCCCTTCAGGAAGAACCGGAACCCTGTTCCTCCCTCCAGCTTCTGCTTCCCTCCTTCCTGCTGAGGTGCCCTGTGTTTGAGCCACGGGAGGCTCCTCATGCCTCCTCACTCTTTCCAGGCATCTGCTCCCCACCAACACCAAGGCCTCCATCTGGCTGTAAATAAGACTCTCTGTTCTGTAAATAGATGTACAGAAGCCATCTTCTTTCTTTCATATAATAAACTTTTATGACTCTTTCCTCTCTCTCTCAGGGAGCCCTGGGGTGGAGGGAGGCATCTTGTCTCAGGTGAAAGGGGAAAGAATTCATTGAACAAATACCCATATTTTGCTGCGTATAATGAGCTCCCATATATAATGCGCACCTGCCCCCCCTTTTTGGTGCGCATTATACATGGGATTATTATACCAATGGTGTTTAATCGTTATACCTATGTATAAGGCACATCCTTATTTTCTCCTCAAAAAAGTGTGCATTATACATGGCAAAATACGGTGTTTATTTAGCACCATAAATGTCTGGGACATTCCAGATTGTACCAGGAGATAGAGTTACTGCCAATGCTAAACCCCAGTCCCTGTCCTGGAGGAGCTTACAGACAGTGGGGGAGACAACCGGCCAATGCCCACCAGTGGGAGAAATGCTGACCTGCCCCGCTCTTACCCCATCCCCTCCCCCGGGAAGCCACAGCAAATGTTCCCACAAATGCACAACCAACGATCCCAGATGTCTGGGGTGGAATGGCTTTTTGAAGTCTAGAATTCTACCTTCCCTCTGGAAAACCAAGAACTGTGACCTGGGTCAGAAGCAGAATGAGGAAGTTTGGAAAAAAGGTGTCCTGACCTGGAGTTTTTCCTCTCTCTTCAATATTGGAAACTAATTTCTTTCCAGGCCTTGAAATGCAGCCTCAGAAATCGCGCGCGCGTGTGTGTTTTGAGTGGGAAACTAATTTCTTTCCAGGCCTTGAAATGCGGCCTCAGAAATCGTGTGTGTGTGTGTGTGTGTGTGTGTGTGTGTGTGTGTGTGTGTTTTGAGTGGGAGAGGGGATCTTTGAAAAGGGATGTGAACACACTTGTCTTGATTCCATAGGTGGGGGAGTAGGCAATGTGGACGAACACGGTTCCAAGCCAGGCTAGGAGTCCGGGGAGCCCATTCACTGAATATGAAACGTCTGGGTTCTTTTCCCTTCTAAGTCCTCTGGGAGGGGCTGGATAACAGTGTGCATCAGATCTTTGGTGGCAGCCAGGCTTGGATTCAGTTCTGTTGTTTACTAGATGAGTAACCTTGGATATGAGTGAGGTTTAACCCCTTGGGTCCCAGTTTTCACCTCAACAAAATGGGACAATAACAGAATCAGTCCCTTAGGGTTGTTGTCAAAACATTTAGCGCATAGTAGCTGTGAGATAAAGAACCAGCATGTTCCATACATACTGGGCTGTCAATAATCACTCATTGATTACTACGAGCCAAAACACTTTATGTGCCTGTACCTCATCGAAATACCACCATTTCTCTTTATGACAGCTACTGTTATCGTATTATAAGACATATAAGGCACCTAACATTAATGGCACACAGTAGGTACTCAAAAACTATTAGAGTTCTTAAAGAAAAAAAGCATGAAAAATGATCTTTGCAAGGTGTAAGGTGCCGCACAAGTTTTCACTACAATTGTTACATCATTCTTGTGGTCCTAATTTATTATTCTTTTGGAGCTACTATGGTGGTAGCCTAGTTACCGTGACCATGGAAACGCGGCCCGCCGTCCCGGATTAGACAGTTCGCGCGCTCCCCCTGGAGGCACCTTTCGGACCTGCAGTGGGACAACTGGGCTGGCCTGTGAGAGTGAAAAAAGGGGAGCCGGGAATTGTAGGCCAAGGGAGGTGGCTGCCGCGGAGCGACGCACGCCGGGAGCTGTAGTTCTCAGGAGGCGGTTGGCCGCCCCCAGCCCAGCTCGTCCCGCACCTGGATGGCGGCTGAGGCGCGTGGCTGCCGGCCCCGGGGCTCGCTCCTCCTCGGGCTGCTCGGTTTGGTCTCGGCCGCGGCCGCCGCCTGGGACCTGGCTTCGCTGCGCTGCAACTTCGGCGCCTTCTGTGAATGTGACTTCCAGCCCGACTTCCAGGGTGAGGAGAGACGGGACGGGGAGACCCGAGAGCCCACGGACTCCGGCCTTGCGCCGGGACCGGACCTGGAGGGTAGAACCGAAGGGCGGAACCCCCAGGCTTCTGGACGGCCAGGGCCGGAAGTGGGCCCGGCGTTGAGAGACGTCTGAGAGCCGGGGCACGGGACTTGGGGCGAGGGTTTGGGGATGCCCATTTGGGAGAGAGGCCTTGGACAGCGGGGAGGGTTAGGCCTCCGCAGTGGAAGGGCGGTCGAGAAAGAAGCCTACCTTGGGGATGGGCAGAGGGCTCTGGGGCAGACCCTGTTGACATCTCGCACCCATTTAGGGCTGAGCGCAATTCAGAGGGAGGCCTGGTCGGGGCGCTGCCGAGCTGAATCAGGCCTGAGGGTGGCTCCTGCATCCAGAGACCCCGAGGGCCCCACTTGCTTTCCGCAGACATCTTGTGAAAACATCCCAGACTATAGGGGTCCCTAGACCAGCTTCCAGATATCACTTCCCCCATGAATCTCTTCCGTGGCGGGGGGCGTGTCCTCAGCTCTGACACTGTCCTTCTTGCGGCCCTAGGTCTGGAGTGTGACCTGGCCCAGCACCTGGCAGGCCAGCACTTGGCCAGGGCGCTGGTGGTGAAGGCACTGAAGGCCTTCGTGCAGGACCCGGCCCCCACTAAGCCGCTGGTCCTCTCTCTGCATGGCTGGACAGGCACTGGCAAGTCCTATGTCAGCTCCCTGCTGGCTCACTACCTCTTCCGGGGCGGCCTCCGCAGCCCCTATGTGCACCACTTCTCCCCAGTCCTCCACTTCCCCCACCCCAGCCACCTGGAGCGCTACAAGGTAGGCTGGTTGCGTCTTGGGTCATTCTCTTGCATCGCGCCATACCCTAGGGACTCAGTCCTAAGCCCAGAGAGGGGGATTCACCTGCTCCAGGCCACACAGCCAGTTGGGGCGGGCCCTCAGGACCCATCCCGAACAGAGCTTGGGATACTGCCATGCTACCTGGCAGGGAGTTAGCTCTCACTTTAATTCCTGGGTGGTGGGGGAGCATAGTGGTACCTACCTGCCAGGGTGGTTGTGAAGGACATGAGGTTATATAATTACAGGTGGTAATTATTGAGCACTGACCTTTGCCGGACAGTCTGCACTCTCTTCTCTGTAAAGCACTTAGCCCCAATTTGAGGCTCAGAGTAAGTACGTAGTAAACGTCAGCTTTTATTGCTACTACTGCAATTAGTCTTGTAGTTATTGATTGCAAAGTACTTCGCAGGCTGATCCATTTCAACTGTCAGAACTGCTGAGAAAGTTCCCCGGGGCAGGAAGGAGCCTTCCCTTTTTGGGGAAAGCAGTAGGCGTCAGGAAGGAGTCCTGGCGGCAGGTGTCGGGCCTGTGATTGGGTCCCTGTTCTCCTGCTGACTTGCTGTTTGAGCTTGGGCCACCAGGGCCGCAGTTGGGCCACCAGTCCCATTAAGGTGCTGTCCGCGAGACCCCGCCTCCTGGGAAGGGGATTAGTTCTTGCCTTGGGGAGCGGTCGGGCTGGGAGAGCAGCCACAGTCCCCCTCAGACTCCTGCCTCTCTCCTACAGAAGGACCTGAAGAGCTGGGTCCAGGGGAACCTCACTGTTTGCGGCCGCTCCCTCTTCCTCTTTGATGAGATGGACAAGCTGTCCCCAGGCCTGATGGAGGTCCTGCGGCCTTTCCTGGGTTCCTCCTGGGTTGTGTACGGGACCAACTATCGGAAGGCCATCTTCATCTTCATCAGGTGGGATGTGGCTGGGCAGTGGGCATAGTGATGGGGACCCTTGTTGGTCTCTGCCACCCAGTCTTGGCCTGGGGTCCCACAGCAGAATACTGTCCCCTGGGCCCAATCAGGCTTTCCCAAAGCCCCTCACCCTCTCCACAGTGACACTGCCATTCAAGGTGGTTGACTTCCTCTTTGACGATCTCAAAGCCCATTCTGGGCCCAGTCTTTTTGGTCCTCACCATTCCTTTGTGGACGCCCTGCTGGGTCCAGAGTTCTCCCTCTTTTGTGACTAAGAAGACACAGGCCTGGGAGAGACAGAACTGAGGTTCTAGTAGCACCGCTAAGAATCCTTGCTATGTTTCCTCAGGCCAATTACTTGACCTCTCTGAGCTCCCATCTCCTCTCTAAACAGCGGGGCCGAAGGAATACCCCACTGACTTCCTAGAGGTTGGGTGAGGGAAGTCAGTGAAGGGACTCGGAAATGTTTTGGAGACTGTAACGTGTACGGCACCTATAGGAGAATTTCCAGGGGTCACGGTTGTGGACACAGGCTCTGGAGAGGGGAAGTGGTTCCCTTGGAGTGTCTTCAGCGGGTTTGGCTCCTGCCGGCCCTGAGCTGGACCCCCAGGCTCAGGCAGTGTTAGGTGGCCTGTGGGAAGCAGGGCCAAATCCTGCGCATGCTGTCTGAGCGTTGGCCCGGGTCCGCGTGTTTTTAGCAACACTGGTGGTGAGCAGATCAACCAGGTGGTACTGGAGGCGTGGCGCAGCCGCCGGGACCGCGAGGAGATCCGCCTGCAGGAGCTGGAGCCGGTCATCTCCCGGGCTGTGCTGGACAACCCACACCGTGAGTTCGGCCCGGGAGCCCACCCCTGGCGGCCTCGGCAGGCTGGGCTTCACACCCAGATCGACTGGGCTGGGACCTGATGCTCTGCCCACTGACCCAGTATTTCCCAGACCAGGCTCCGGCACTCCTGGCTGTCACACAACCTCTCTGAGCCGTGAGCCCGGGAGGTGTCAGAGAGCCGCGTACCTACACTGGCCTCGGGGCGGGGGGGGGGGGCGGGGCGGGGCGGGCAGAAGCCCGGCTTCTGTGAAGCTCAGCTTCTCCTCCCCGTCGTCCCTTCCTACAGATGGCTTCTGGCGCTCGGGCATCATGGAAGAGCATCTCCTGGACGCCCTGGTGCCCTTCCTGCCGCTCCAGCGGCACCACGTGCGGCATTGTGTGCTCAACGAGCTGGACCAGCTGGGCCTGGAGCCCAGGGATGAGGTTGTCCAGGCCGTGCTGGACGGCACCACCTTCTTTCCGGAGGACGAGCAGCTCTTTTCCTCCAACGGCTGCAAGACCGTGGCTTCCCGAATTGCCTTCTTCCTCTGACTCTCCAGGCGGCATCCTTGCTGCCCTCTACCTGGCCAGGCCACGCAGGGACGTCTTGGGGCCCCTGGCGGAGGGACCCTTGTCCTGAGCCTCCTGGAGAGTGGGGCCCAGAGCACAAGTGGAAGACGAGAAGTGTGGCCAGGCCGTGAGACAGAGGGTCCGGGTGGGCCCTGGCCTCTGAACTGGTCTGAGGGCCTCTTGGCCTCTGCGTCCTTCCCCAGGGGAAAGTGCCGGTCACCTCAGAACCTCCATGAGCCTGGCCCTCGCCCTTCAGTCTGAGCCTCCTTAAAATGTGAATTGTAACTCAGGGACTGTGGCTCCTGGCGGCTCCCTCTCTCCTCGGCCTTTACCGTCAACCCCTTGCCCTAGCGCTATACCCCACACCCCATGGCCCAGGATTGTAAAGCCAGGCTGAAACTTCTCAGTCGCCACGAACGGAGCAGCTCAAACTGCCACTTGGGCCTGGTTTTTAAAGTGTTTTAATTTTGTAAAAGAAGAGAATAAATAAACTTAACCGCGGGACCAGAGTAATGTTGGCTGAGGTTTCTAATTGCTGAGTGCAAAGGTGGTAGAATATTTCCCGCCTCCAGCAAGAAGTGAGGGGCTTGGTGCCCCTTCAGAGAACAGTATGACCGCCAGGGCTGGGGCTCTGGCCAGCCTGGATTTTGCTGGGCTTCTGGCTCAGGTCCTGAGTGACATTGTCTTGCTGGAAATTAGGCTGGTGCTCTGGCTTCAGCTCTGGGGAAACCTGCTTGGTCTTGCTGGGACTCTGGCACTGGCCCTGGGTGGCCTCAGTACTGCTGGGGCTCCGACTTGAGTCACACAAAGTCTCAGTCTTGCTGGAACTTCGGATCCGTTCCCAGGTCCGGCCCTGGGTGGCCTCAGCTTTGCGGGGTCCCCAGCTCTGGCCATGAGCAACCTTGGTCTTTCTGAGCCTCCGCCTTGGGCCTCGGGCAGCCTTGGTCTTGCTGGGCTTTTGCCCTGGGTCCTGGGTGGCCTCGGTCTTGCTGGGCCCCTGGCTCTGGCTCTGCGTGGCCTGTGCCTGGCAGGATCTCTGGCCCTGGCCCCAGGCGGTGGCCCTAGTTTCTCTGGAGTGGTGGCTCAGGCTTAGGCGTCCCCTGTCGGTCCCGGAGTCTGACGACTGAGTCCCCAGTACGGAGGAACCAGAGAACATCGCAGGGGAGGCCGGGCTGCTCCTGTAATCCTGGCACGTGGTGGATGTCTCTGTCTCTGAGGTCAACAGCGTCCTGGCTGCGGAGGGTGTGCCAAGAGCACCCATCATGCCACGCTCCCGGGGCAGCGCCAGGAAATGGAGGCGGTAGGCCTCGCCCTTGCCCGTGTCCCAGAGGCCCTGCGCAGCCCAGGGGAAGGCCCACCGGAGCCCGCCAGCCCACCCGTCCTCAGCAGCCTGAGCCCTGGAGGTGGGCGAAGGATGTAAGATAAGGGGGACACTGAGGGCCCCACTTGCCTAGCCCTGGTCTCCACTGTGCTGGCTGCCCCTTGCTCTCTGCGTTCCAGCCATAACCAACAGCCTGCACTTTGTCCTGCTCCACCCTTCCCACACCTGACTGACCCCTACTCCTCCTCCAGGTCCTGGGAGCCCTCTCTGACCCCCCAAAGGGGGCTAAATGCACCCACAGCCCTCCAGTGTGCCTGCACTCTCCTGGTTATCTGTTGATACCTGCGTGCCTCCTTCCCTTCAGGACCAGGAGCTCTCCGGGGCAGGGACTGGGCCGCCCCTGCCTGTGACCAGCGTGTGGCGGAGCCCAGCCCCGGGACTCGTGGCTGGATGGACTGTGCTAATGGAAGGACAGAGCTGGCCGCCGCTATTTTTATCCCTGCCTTGGACTACTCACACCTGCCCTTGGGACTCTGTTAGGACTCTGGTCATGCTAGTGCCTGGCAAAACTGGGGGTAAAAGCCCTCTGCGGGCTTGCTTCAGGGAGAAGCAAGGGGGCAGAGGAAAGAGGGGCCTGAGAGGGAGCGCAGTGGCCGTGGGGAAAGCTGATCGGTCCCAGGGCTGGGCTGCGCATCACCTTCCGGGGCGCTCAGCACGCCCCCTGCGAAGGCAGGATTGCCCTCCCGCTTTAGAGTCATGCAGCTGTAAGCAGCAGAGCCCACTTTCACCCCAGGCCAGGGAGTCTCTGACCCCTGACCTTTGCCCTCTTTGCTGCTATGGCTCTCTCAGGCCTGGCAGGAACATCGGGGACTTACAGCCCAAGATGGAGCTTGAAGAGGCCTGGTCGAGGTAGCTGTCGGACAGGGACCTCACCTTGCTCGGGGCGGGCTCCGGCGTCTCCTGGGACAAGAGACCAGCTGGGCAGTCAGGCTGCAGTGGCTCTGGAAGGCCAGCAGGTGCTGGGACCTTCAGTGACTGTTCCCTTCAGCTTAGAGCTTCTCAGGGGTCCCAGGTTAGGGCTGGGCGGGGACAGGGAGAGGCTGAGACTGGACCGGAAGGGGAGTGGCCAGCCTAGACAGGCAATGCCCAAGGGGACTGTGAGCAAGGCAGTGTCCAAGGGGGCTGCATGGGCCTCAGCTTCCCCATCTGCAAAATGCAAATTCATGCAAGCCCAGAACAGGCTTCTGTAAACTGTGAAGCGCTGTGCCCTGGGGAATGGCTAGTGAGGAGCTGAGGAGCTTCTCCATGCTTTACACGTCTTATCCCATTTCATCCTCCCCACACGTCAGGAGGAAACTACTGCCATTACCATTTCATGGACCAGGAGACCAGGAACCCAGGCACGGAGCACCTAAGCAGGCTGCCCAGGGCACTCAGCTAAGGAGAAGCTGGGCTTGAATCTGGGCCTGCGGGACCCCACAGCCAGGCTCTCTGCTGCTGGTCTCCTCTGCCAGTCCACGCCCCAGGGGGAACGGGCAGAGGTGGGGGTCGCTGACAGCGCTGAGGCACAGGCACCAGCTCAACACTTCCCTGCGGAGGGGGCTCACGCTGACCTCAGGGGGCACACAGACCGAAGTTTCGAAGTTTTGTAGCTTTGCATTCTAACTGAGCCAGAAAAATGTCAAGATAGCCTTTTCCATTTACAACAAGGGATTATGGGAGCCTGTGTCCTTCAGTCAAGTAAAGCTCCCTCTGCACGCTGATTTACATGCCGTCCCCCGGCAGCAGGAGCGTAATGACCTACTGGCCAGTCACGGGGGAGAGTTCTCCATGGCGGGGAGTGGGCAGTCAGCCTGGATGCATGTTGCAAACGCTGGTGAGGGGAGCAGAGACAAGATGGCACACGGCTCTGTCCCCTGAACAGCAGGCACTTGTCTTCGCATTACATGGCAGGGGATGGGCTGGGGGAGGGCCTCGCAGGGGGTGCCAGGGGCTCCTGGGGAGCTGGGAGTCTTTTTGGATGTGGGTGATGATGTCATGGGTGTATTCAGTTTGTGAAAATTCATCAAACTTCATTTAGGATTTCTGGACTTTTCTACATGTTAAAATCAATACAAAGTTTTTAGAAATGAATTTAAGAATTAAGAAAAGTCTGGCACGAGCGGCCAGTGCAGACAGCAGCATTCATGACGGACAGTGTGGGCGAGGTTTGAGAAGGCCTTGTCCTGAGGGGCCACATCCTCACATGCACTGTCTCAGGGTGCCCCTTCCCGGTACCATCCCCCCCTCAGAGCAAGAGGTCCCCAGCCCAAGTCACACAGCTGAGTGGTGGCAGAGCCAGCCTGGAAGCTGGCCTCCAGCCAGCCTGCGCCCCTCAGCTCGGGCCGGGGGTGCCTTCCCGGGGGTGGACCTCGGGGGCTCTGGCGTGTGGCCCACTCACCTCCTCCTTGGGGCCCTTGGCCTCCTCCGGCTGTTCTGGCTCTGCCGGCAGGGTCTGGGGAGCGGAGCCCAGCTTCTCAGAGGCCTGCGACAAAGGCTGTTCCTGCTTCCACAAGAGCTGCAGGGCCCGGGCCTTCTGGCGCTCCAGGTCCCACTTCCTGAACTGCCTGCCCAGCCACGGCCCCAGAGCACTGGGTGAGGCTCCCTGAGCCACCCCACCATCCCCAGGACTGCACAGTGGCCTGCGGGGGCAGCGGGGGCCAGGGGAGCCTCGAGCCCCAATCATTCCCACTCGCGGCCTGCGCCCCTGGCCCAAGGAACTTACCCCATGATGCCCTGAGAGATGCTGTCCTGCAGCCTGCTCTCCATCACCTGAGTCAGCTGCCACCTGGCCAGGTGGGCCACCTGGGTGCCAAGCACCTCCTCCATTGACATGCACGGGAAGAGGTCAGCCATCAGCGGGAGCAGCTGCCAGGACAGGGGGTGACCAGAGCCAGGTATGGGCCAGGGCAGGGGGCTACCAGGAAAGGGGACTGCCCTGCCCTTGCAGAGTCCCTTCGCAGGGCTGAAAAGGGCAGAGTTTACAAACTGTTGTTTTTAAAGGGCTGGACTCTTGCCCCAGAACTGTGAGGAGACCACGAGAAAGGAGTTGGGACACTGACGGCATGAGTCCAGGGTTCTGGAGCTGGACAGGTCAGTCTAACCCCCAAGCTGTGGGGCCTGGGGCCAGGGAGCCGGCTCCTCGGAGCCCTGCCCTCTTCGCCTGTAAGTTGGGAAGTGATGATGTGACCTGCCTTGTAGGGCGCTGAGGCAGGTTAGACAGGGTGACGTGAATGAAGTGGTTAGAACAGTGCCTGGCACACAGCAGATGCTCTGGCATTAGCAGCTCTTATTTGTTGCTAGGAAACCAAATTTCTTTTAGGGACCGGGAGTATCTTTAGGCAGCCAGGGGCGTTGACTCCACCCTCCTGGCCCCTAGCAGGAACCCACCTTTGGCTGCTTAGGGTCAAGGAGCAGGGCAGTGGCAACATCCTGGCGGGCCCCAAAAATGTTCTGTGTGAGCAGCCGGCTCCTGGCGCGGTGCACATAGTACTGAGCCTTCTGGGGATTGTGCTGGATGGCCATTGAGAAGTGGTCCTCTGCCTTCTTGAATTGCCTGCAAGATAGTGGCCACGGGCTTTCAGTGAGCTAGGTCGCCTGGGGGGACGTCACAGCTTCTGGGCTCCGCTGGGGAGTTTGGGGAAACCCAGGCCGGCTGCTGCCCCCTGCTCTCTGCCCCTCTGCTCTCCTTGTACCAGCTATGCTCCGATGGACCAGGCACTCAAATGCTGATATAAAACCCCAACATAAGTGGACATTTTTATGATCTTGGATTAAGGAAGGGCTTTCTGAGGATGTCATACACCTAGCAGTTAAAAATTAAAAAGTTAATCTGTGATTAAATACTAAGTTATTGAGCAGCAAAACACCACAAAGGTAAGCAGAAATGGGAGAGATATATTTTGCTACATAGGGTATATGATAAGCTAATTTTCCTAACCTACAAAAGACCTTTTATAACCAAAAAAATTTTTCAATGAGCGATTTAATAACAAAATGAGAAAAGATTTGGGCAAGGCATAATGGTCAATAAACACATAAAAGGTGCTTTGCCGCACTAGCAGTTTAAACATGCACAGTCAAGTGCAAGAGAGTAATTTTTTTTCCTACTAGATTAGCAGAGTTGAAAAATAGTCTTGGCCGTGGCCTGGTAGCTCATATGGTTAGAGCATCATCCCATACACCAAGGTTGTGGGTTCAATCCCCAGTCAGGGCACATACAAGAATCAAGCAATGAATGTATCAGTAAATGGAACAACAAATTGATGTGTCTCTCTCTTGCTCTCTCCTTTCCCCTCTCTCTGTAAAAATCAACTGAAAAAATAAAAATAAAGAAAAATAGTCTTAATACCCCCCACTAGTGAGATTTGGGGAAACCAAGACTCTTTTCCTGGGAGAAATTTAACTGGCTCACTGTTTTTGGAGAACTCTTGAATATTATACAAAATGTTAAATTTCACACTCTTTAACCTAAGCATTTAACTTTTGGCAATTTAACTATATTGTTACTAGCATGAGTGCATGAAAACATATGTCCTGAATGCTCATTATTCCATTATTTATAGTAAAAAACTGAAAGCAGCCCAACTATTCATCAGCAGTAAAGTGGATAAATAGATAAAGGACAATCCTCTATGGTCCCTCCATAGAGTAGAATACTATGCAGGCAATAAAGAGAGAATGAGACAGTCCTGTATGTAATGCTATGGGAAGTAAAAAAGCAAGTCGAGACACAATTTAGCATGATCTCCCTTTTGTAAATGATCATTGTTAACACATGCATTGGAAACAATTTAAAGGAATCTTTACCAAAGTTATGGGGTGGGAAGGCGTTCAGAAGTAGATATTAGAAGGAACTCTCATGTTGAGTTATAACTTCCTGAATACTTAAGCTTTTTATAAAAAGTACAATTACCATAACATTCAGGAAAAAAAGGGAAGGGTTTTTAGCGGAAACTTGGAAAATAAAATCTGTATTTAGGAGACACAACTCGTAGAGCAGAAGCATCTTGACGCAAGGATCCCAGCTGGCGGCTTCGCACCGCCCCGGCCCCGCCCCCAGCGCCTGGCCCCGCCCCCGCCCGCGCGCACCGGCTCTTTTGCTCGCAGAAGCCCATCTTCTCCTGCAGTAGGCCCATGCGCAGGTTGGCGCCCTCGTCCTGCGGGCTCAGCGCCAGTGCCTGCTGGTAGTCCGCCTCGGCGAAGGTCAGGTTGCCCAGCTGGAAGAAGCAATCTGGGGCCCGGGCCGCGCCGGCGTGGGCTGAGTAGACCCCCACCCCCACCCTCACCCTCAGTGTCCGGGAGCCCAGCTCAGCCTGCTCCACCCCCCGGAGGGCGGGGCCTGAAACCTGTGACTGGCGTCGCCAGTGGGCGGCTGCGGGAGGCTTTGTGTGTCTGATTGCTGAGCAGTCCTTAGCCAGACCGTAGCCACCTTGTCGAAGGCGAAGCTTCCCCAAGGGTGTCCCTGGGCCACTGAGAGTCTTAAATGTTCCCTCTTTCCCTCCTTCCTTCCTCCCTCTCTCAGGAGCCTCAAGCGCCCAGGCCAGGCCTTTGGGGAGGCGAGCGGCTCCGGGCCGGCCAGCACCCACTCACCGCCGCGGTTGATGTAGAGGCCTTTCTCCTGCTGCTCGTCCCGGAGGGCCTTGTTGAGCAGCAGCACGCTCTCCTGGTAGGCACCCTGCATGTAGCAGTGCACGGCAAAGTCGTTGTAGGCCAGCAGGAGCTGGCGCTGCGCCTGCCGCACCATATCCTCCTGGTGCTCCGTCATCATGTCCAGCGCCTTCAGGAGGTCCTCCACGGCGGCATCAAACTCCTGGAGCCGGCGGTGCACGGTGCCCCTGTGGGGAAGGGACATGAAGGCCGAAGCAGCGCCATTGACTGGGGGTGGCCTGTCGAGCTGCGGCCTACCCTGGGCCTTTTGACCCGCGGAGGTTCCCCGGACCCTCACTGGGTTTGGCCTCTGGGGCCTGGATTGCTACTCAGGTAACCTGCTAGTCACTAGTAATTCAATTTTTCTCAAAAATGGCTTTCCTCTTTCCTCTTGGGAGCCAGGTGTATGCCAGCCTTTACACCCAGGCCTTTGTGTGTACAGCACCGATGTTTCACCGCCCACTGTTCATACAGGGAAACCCAGGCTCAAGGGACTTAAGTAGCCCCGAATCAGGTGGTGAGTCCTTGCCGGGGGCCGATTCACACCCAAGCCTTGTCCACTGAGTTGGGCGCAGCAGGCCCGCGGTCCCGGGTTCCACAGTTAACTGAGGCTGCCGCCTGCAGAGCCCGCCAGCCATGATGCTCTGACTGCAGTAGGGGTCAGGGAAAGATTAGTAAAGGTTCGATGGGGAAACTGAGGCCCACGTAGATTCAAGAGCTCCCAGAGAGCGCTCAGCTGGACCGAAGATTGCACCTCCCCCGCCAGTACCGGAAGAGGAAGAGGCTGGGGTCCAGAGGGTTGTTCTGGATGGCGCAGGTGACACACTGCAGGGCATGCTCCAACTTGCCCTGCACGGCAAGGGTCCTGGCATCTTGGTGTGACTTCTGGGCCTGGTCCACCATCATCCTGAGCAGCACCTTGGCCTGTGGGTGCTTGGGATTCAACAGCAAGGCGCTGTGCAGGTCTTGATAGCAGAGGTTGGGCTGCAGGGGCCAGGGATGACATCAGGGGCACTGGCCAAGCTGAGCCCTGCCCTGTCCAGTAGGGGGAGGCAGAGCTCCAGGCTTGCAGGGGCCTTGTCTGGGCAGGCTGGCACCATGCCACCCATCCCGCGTGGCTCTGCTTTGCTGCTCCGCCTTTTCTGCCTCTTGAAGCAGACAGGGAACACTGTGGGAAAATCCCATTCTAGGCCCAATCCTGGGTGACCCCTTTCCAGATGTGACCTCAGGGGGCCCAGGTCAGCCTTGGTGGTTCCTACCATGGAATGGGATCTGGAAGACCGTCTCCCTGGACAATCTGTGAGGCCCATTCGGGGTGGGGCAGGGGGAGCATCCTGATCGTGACTGTCACATCCTTCCTGTCCCTCGTCCCTCACTGCCTTGACCTTTACGCCCAAGAGAACGCTGACTAAGAGCAAATTCAGGCCTGGACACGAGCAGAAAACATCCCCAGGCAAATACCTTCCACTGGGTGAGCACGCTGTGTCAGTCAGTCAGCGTGCAGTTTTAACAAGTGCCCCGTGTCCTACAGGGTAATTGGTTGAAGGGTGAGCAGAGCAAACAGTGTGGACACCAGGAAGTCGCGAGGGGACACACGGGAGAGGTTAGGGGCAGGACTTTGGAGTAGGCCTTTGTTCAAGGGCAGCGCCACTGAGAACTGGCTGTGTGACCTTGAGCAAGTCCTGAGTCCTCATCTGTGCAAAGATGACAAGGGGTTGTGTCTACCGAAACGGTTATTGTGAGCCTTTGAGATAAGTATGAGTAAAGCGCTTAGCACGTGCATTGCCAGGGCTGAAGTAGGGGGAGCAGCTAAACTCCCGACAGCAGTAATTATCGATAATTACTAGTCTCCTGCCTTTGAAAGACACTCCCCCACTGACTCACTGTGGGACACGAAGCCCAGCCCCCAGCATAGGGAAGGTCACATTCCATCCACCCCCGCCATGCCCCACCTAGTGAGCTGAGGGGAACCCCGGCAGATCCTGCCCGATCCTGCCCACCCATTCCTTCCCCTCCCAAGTGTCCCAGCTCCCAGGCACCAGGCCTAGCCAGGACACTGGTCATCGCTCTGGATCCCTCCCTTCCCTCCTGCACCTTCCCTGTCAGTCTCTGGTCCTGACTTCCAGGGAGGGTGGAGCTGCCCCCTTGTCCATCCTCCCCAGCCCCTTCCTCTTCTGCTGGATGGCACCTGCCTCCTCCCCAGGCTCCCGGCCTCCGGACTTGCCCCTCCAGCCCACACTCCTCTGGCAGCTGAAAGGATCTTTCCAAAGCCCACTGCTCCGGGGAGCACCGTTCTGAGGCTCCTACTGTCCCCAGGAAGGAGGCAGGGTCGTCCTGGGTTCACAAGGCCCTGCCTGATGCCCTCACATACCTGAAGTCCTGTCCTCCCTCGTGACCCCAAGTTTCCCTTGCCCCTAAGCTGTTCCCTGTACTGTCTGTCCCCATGCCTAGCCTAGGGAGTGTGCCAGCTGGGGGTACTTAGTAAATGTTCGCTGAGGCAAATGAGGAAAGAAAGGAAGGAAGGAGGGAGGGCCGCCTTATGTAATGGATCTCTGATGCTGCTTCACATTCTTCTGAAATCATCCTCCACGCAGTTATCTGCTTAGGGACGTCCACCCTAGGCTGCGAGTTCTGTGACAGCAGTGGTGGCACAGGTCTCTTACCTCATGGTTTCTGGGGGCCAATGCAGGCCTGGCCCAGAGCCAGGGCTGGGTGACAATGGGACAGCTACCTGACTGGGCAGCGGAGCGGTCAGTGCCAGCTGGGGCCTCTGCCCACAGAGGACAGTGACCCTGCTGCACTGTGGGGCGGCGGCTCCAGGGCTGGCTGATGGGCTAGCGGCTTCCTATAGTCTCAGGGTGTGCTGGGGGCACGCGGGCTGGGGAGGGGCCACCGCCTGGCCCACCCTCCCTGTCCTACCTTCTGGAAGAAGTGATAGAGCCTGGCCCGGAGGATGTAGACATCAGCATTGGCTGTGCCATGCTCCACCTCCTTGGTGACAAGTGAGAGGCAGTTGCAATGTTGTTTGAGGGCCAAGAGACAGGCTATGCTGCAGGCAAAGAGCGAAGGTGCTCTGGCTGCTAAAGCAGCAACTCTCAACCTTTTTCGTCTCATGGGCCACATGAACTAATTATTAAACTTCTGCAGCGCACCAAAAGATGTATTTTTTTGCTGATCTGACAAAAAAATAGGTGTAATTTTGATTCATCCACACCAGACGGCTATTGTGTTGGCTGTTGTTATTATTTTTTTTAATCCTCACCCAAGGATCTATCCATTGATTCTAGAGAGAGAGGAAGAGAGAGAGGAAGAAAGAGAAAGAACTAGGGAAACATTGATGTGAGAGTAACAACAATCCAACCTGGGAACCGAACCTGCAACCCAGGCACGTGCCCTGGTGGAGAACTGGATCTGCGACCTTTTGGTGTATGGGACGATGCTCCAACCAACTGAGCCACACCGGCCAGGGCTGTTGTTTTTTTAATTTAACAATGTAAGGGAAAGAGGTCAGCATCCCTGACTAGACAGTCAGGTATTACATATTTTAAAAATTCTTGCAGCACGTGGGTTGCGTGTCTCTATGCTGAAGGGACGGGAAGGGGCTGCTGGAGCAGCAGGGCCGGCAGGACACACACGGGACACTCACCATCGGTAGCGGAAGCAGGATTTCTCGGGCTGGAGCTCAGAAGCTTGCGAGAAGATGTTCAGGGCATCCAGAAAGGCACCTTGCTCAAACAGGCACTGGCCCTGGGGACACAAGGAGCAGTCACTTCTGCTTCCATCCCTGGCCCAGCAGCTCTCCTGAGAGCGTGTGGGCAACACTGGGGTGGAAGGGAAGAGAGACAGGAGACGGGGACAGAGCTCTTTACATCTGGAGAGACTTTAAGAGTCAGAGACACAGAGATGGAGAGAGATACAGAGCTAGGGAGAGACAGTACGAGACAGGGAGAGACACACACTTGGCGAAAGGCAGCAAGACAGACAGACACACGGGAACAAAAAGCAATAGACCATGTCTGGGAGGAAGACGAGAGCAGAGCCGACAGTAACAGGCTCCAGCCGGGACCAGGGCTCCGGTGCCCAGTCCCGTGTTGAGAAGAACCTGAACTTGCTATCTCACTGGTACTAACTAGCATCCCCCTTTCAGGTGAAAGAACTGAGGCTCAGAGAGGTGAAGTAACTTCCCCAAGGTCACACAGCAAGTGTCAGTACTGGACTCAGGACCTCGACAGATGAAACATGTGGTTTGAGTGTCCCAAATGTTTCTTTTCAAGAATTGAATGATTACGGGCATTAAAAACAAAGATGTCAAAGTTGTCAAAATGAAAACAAAATCAGGACTCTGTTGGTATTCATCATTTAATATTTTTTTTAATTGTAAATGGGGCCAGTATTACCTTTTTAGTGCTTAGAGTCTCTAGATTTTAGGTCTGTACTGTCTAATACAATAGCTGTCAGCTTCATGTGGCTATATAACCTTAATTAAGGTGAAATACAATAAAAAAAATTAGTTCCTCAGTCGCACTTGCCACATTTCAAGGGCTCAGCAGGGGCATGTGGGTGATGGCTGCTAGATCGGACAGCGCTGAGTAGATCACTGTCATTATTGCAGAAAGTTCTGGTGGACAGCGTTACAAATCTGTACCCAGGCCTGGTGGTTCGCCCACTCGGGAGGTGCCAGAGGTCATGAGAGAGGCCACAGGTGGGGACACAGATACAGGGAGTCAGAAGTAGGCCCAGGAGCGAGGAACGCCCCACAGCCGGAGGGAGACCCAGCAGGCATGGGCGTGAGGTGGGCCCCTGGCGTGGCCCCAGCACCTGCAGGTGCAGCACCAAGGTAAGGCGCTCCAGGAACTTGGTGTTCTCCGGCTGGAAGGAGAAGGCCCTTCGCAGGTTCTGGATGGCTGAGGAGAAGTCACAGAGCTGGATGTAGGCTTCAGCTCTTAAGGCATAGAAGTGTACCTGAAGGAGAGGAAACCCAGGCTGTGGTCCCCTCCCCACAGCCACCCTGAGGCTGGACACTCACAGAGACTTGGTGGCCCTGAAAGGAGGGGCCTGGCAGGTGTGACAGACAGGGAAGCGTGTGCCGGAGGCTACCTGTGCCCACCCAAGCCCTCCCCCTCACCAGCTGGGGGTCCAGGTGGAGGGCGCGGGAGAAGAACAGCACGGCCAACTCCCAGTCCTCTTGCACCAAGCACCGGTAGCCTCGGTGGTAGCTGTGGGGACAGGGGGCGCAGGCAGAGGGGCTGGCCCCGCCCTTGACCAGCCCAGGGCATACAGCTGGGGCTGTGCGAGTGCGTGGGACGCCCTTGGGCGGAGAGACAGATGGGGTAGACAGAGATTCTTGGAGCTCATCCGGGCGGCAGCCTTTGATCCACCGAGGCAGAAGATTACACAGGTGAGTTCACTGAAGCCCGGGCCGGGGGGTGGGGGGCAGGGGGGAGAGCGACTGGCCCAAAGCTGCACAGCATGTCAGTGGCTGTGCAGAACAGAAACCAGGGACCCTGGGACACGGTAGTCACTCACTATTCCCTGACTTTTGAGGGCACTGTTAACCCAGTGACCACTGGTTTTATCTCATCAAAGCTCTGGAACACCTGGCTGGTCCCAAAGATGCGCTGTAGGATCTCCTTTGGGAGTGGAGCCACCCGTGGCTTTTGGATGTGCTGTGCAGGAGGCTGTTCAGGCCCCAGAGGATCCTAGAACCAAGGGAGAGCAAGCTGGGGCAGGCCTCCGAGATGACCCCCCCTCCACTTACACACTCTGGTCACTCGGGTCAGGTGTGTTACAGGATGGAGGGGGGAAGGCAGGAGGCACAATCGGGGGTCTGGTGGCACTGCCGCCATCCTTATTCCCCTTAGGGATGTTCCACCCTCCCTCTCCAGTCCTGCCTCTCTCCCTCTCCTACAGTCAAGGTCAGGGGCCAAGATTCTCAGGCTCACACTGCCCTCTGCTCTCTTCCTGGTCCCCCTCAGCACCCTTCTCCAGCTACTGACACCCAAAACTCTGTCCCGAGCTCAGGCCCTGTCCCAAGCTGCACACTCCAAGGGCCTGCAGGTGCTAGCATGTCCTATGCGACCCCCACGCCCAGCAGGTCAAAGTGGAGCACCTCACCTGACTTCTGCTCTAGCTTTCCCATCTCCGTATGTCCACCTTCTCTGCCAGCCAGAGACCTAGGTCCCAACAGACCTCAAGTCCTGTCTGCCCCACTTCCTAAAAGCCTCTTAGATTTCGCCTCTTCTCTCACCCTCTCTTCTGGGCCAAGGCCATCTATCTCTGCCAGGACGCCAGCCTCGGTCACCCCTTCAACCTCCCCACTGGCCACTCGTCCCAGGTCCTCTGTTCTCTGCACAGCAGCCTGACACTTTCCTGAATTGTACAACTGATCCTGCCTCTCCCATAAGTAAACCTTTTCTGTGAACTCAGTGTACGCCTCTTCTCTCCCGACCCTCTGCCTTTGCTTTAGCTTTCTCCCGCACCTCTCTGGAGTCTGTCATGAGGCTCCTTCCAGGAAGACCCGTGGGACTGAGTGGGCTGCGTCGCGGCCCTGGGCGCCCGTTGCTAGGCACCATCTCCACGACGCCCACAGGCCCCGCCCCTTGGCCCCGCCCCTGGAGTCCCAGGGTTTGTTGGAGCCAGAAAAATATTAAACTTTTATTAGCTGGGGAGACTAAGGCTACAGCGTAGGAAGGGCTCGCCGAGTTTCCACAGAGAGGCAGGACCACAGCGCGGGCCATAACAGGGCTAACTCCTCCCAGTCCAGGGGTAAAGCGAGGGTTCTGCAAGTCCCACAACAAACCCCATCCCGACGCAGTGACGCCCCGCCACGGAATGCGCGGGGGCGCCCCGCCACTTCCGCCCCTCAGGAGCTCGGCGGCTCCATGTCCCGCCCCGGATTGGACGCTTGGCGGCAGGTGGTGACCACGATTGGCCGATGGGTGGCGACGTCAGGGGTGGGGCCTTGAATAGGAGCAGCATGCCGCCGGCCGGCCTCTCGCGCGCCGGGCTGCGGCTGAGTTGGGGCATGAGCCGGTGGGTTTTGGAACCCCGACCCCCAGGGAAGCGGTGGCTGGTGAGTGGAATGAGGGTCGGCGACGTAGAGGCTCCCGGGGCCTAACTCCAGTTTTGCCACTGTCTCCCGGGCAAAGCCCCCCAATTCCTTGTCTCAGTTTTCGTATCTAGAAATGGGTCCGATACCCGACAGGGCTCCAAACTTCCAGGAATTCCGCTCCTGCACCGTGGCTCTCTGCGTGCGCAGCTCGCGGGGCGCCAGTTTCCACCCAGCCTTCTGGAGTCTCCAGGGTTTCCGGGACTCCTCTTCACGACCCTTCCCCACCCCGTTCCTGCTTTCCATTACTCTTCTGCTTTGGGTCCCAGGGGGCATTGTAAGATAAAGGGCGGCGAGAGTTGTCGGGACTCAGTGTTCCCCGTGTCGCCCGCAGGTGGCTGGCCTGGGCAACCCTGGACTGCCCGGCACGCGGCACAGCGTGGGTATGGCGGTGCTGGGGCAACTGGCGCGGCGGCTGGGGGTGGCTGAGAGCTGGGCCCGCGACCGTCGCTGCGCCGCCGACCTCGCCCTGGCCTCACTTGGGGATGCCCAGCTGGTCCTGCTTAGGCCACGGCGTCTCATGAATGTCAACGGGCGTAGCGTGGCCCAGGCTGGTGAGTTGGGGGCATCGCGGGTGGGCTGGTTGGGAGGGCGTAGGGGCCAGAGGGGATTCTGGGATGCGGCTGGCGGCTTCACCTCCAGGTGTTGAGTTCCCGCGGCCGCATGGCCTTGGGTATTGTGGGAGAGTCAGTTTTTTTTAAATGTGAAGTGGGGTCAATTGCGGCCCCTCCATATGGGAGCTGTGAGTTGGGAAGGCGCCCTCTGGGCAGATCAGCAGTGACCGGGGCCACCCTTTCCCTGTGCCAAGCGGAGCTGTTTGGGCTGACTGCTGAGGAGGTCTACCTGGTGCACGACGAGCTGGACAAGCCCCTGGGGAAGCTGGCTCTGAAGCTCGGGGGAAGCGCCAGGTGAGCCCTGAGCCAGTCTGGCTGGGATGGGGAAGTTGGCCTCCCAGCTGGAGTGGGGTAGGGGTACTGAGCCCAGCCTGGGCAGGGGATGCGGAGCTCTGACCCCATTCTGGGCTGGGAAGGGTGCAGGGTGCTGACCCAGGGAAGCACTGACTGCCCCTCCCATATCCTTGAAGGGGCCACAATGGAGTTCGTTCCTGCATTAGCTGCCTCAACTCCAACGTGAGTCCACCCCTCCGTCCTGCTGTGGGTTGGGTGGTTCGGCATGGGGCCCCAACGCTCCTCACCAACGCTGCCTGAGCCCCTCTGCTCTCTGCAGGCAATGCCACGGCTGCGGGTGGGCATCGGGCGCCCCGTGCACCCTAACGCGGTGCAGGCGCACGTGCTTGGCTGCTTCTCCCCCTCGGAGCAGGAGCTGCTGCCCCCATTGCTGGAGCGCGCTGCAGACCTGCTCCTGGACCACATCCGCCAGCGAAGCCAGGGGCCCTTGGCAGGCACCTGATGCCGCTGGACGCAGCTGCCGGCCCGACTGCCATGCCCACACTCCCAGCCACGTCCACAGAGGTGCCACGCCAACTTGTGGTATCTATTTTTTATATAACTCGTTCTCTGGGCTGCTCCAGGCCTTCTGTGGATTAAAGGGGGAGTGTGGCCGGATGTGTCCATTTTGGGGGTAGGGAGTTGGTCTTCTTTCTGTGTTTTACTTAGAAAGTAGGGGGACTTCAGGAAGACTAAACTTTTTGAACGTTTTTGGAGAATCAGCCGTGTGGACCTGCAAGATTAAAGATGCCTGCTTGGAAGCTGCTCGGGGGTCCTACCCTTCCCTGCCTGTGGAGGAGGGAGGAAGGAGGGGCCAAGGGGCCCAGCAGGCCCACCTCCCAGGGCTGTGTGGGCATGCCTTAGCCCCCAGAGGCTTTGCCACACCTTTCCTTGGCCCATTTCACAGATGGAGAAATGGTGGCTTAGAGAGGGGTGGCCACGTCTGCAAGGCCACACAGCTGCAGTGTGGCTGAGCTGTGACCTGCACCCAGGGCTGGCTGCCACCTGGCTGTCATTGGGGCCCCAGGCAGGCTCACCGCAGCGATGCTGTGTGTGTGGGATGTTCTCACACGGGTGGCACGTGAGAGCAGCCTGAGGTCCTCAGGGTTGGGTGGGATGTGGGCCCGCCGAGGCACCAGGCCCAGGTCCCCCAGCTGGTAGGGTGTGATGCTGGACAGCTGCTGCTGCAGGGACACGGCCTTGGGCAGCTGGGTGCTGGACTGGCTGCGGGGGGGGGCGGGGATCGTGTCATCACCGCCATTTCATAGATGAGGAAGCTGAGGTTCAGAAAGGCTTCGGGGAGCTCGGATTCTGGCCCGGGGTCACTGAGGACAGCCCTTGGACCAGTCCTGTAGCTGCTTCTGAGGTCACCCAAGGTCACTCACCTCTCCTTCGGGCCACGGGACTGGCTTTCCATCTGGGACCTTAGGACAATGGCTGAGCTGAGCATGGCCAGTAGCTGCTGTAGCATCTCCCTGCGCTGCAGGTGGAACGCTATGTCAAAGTTGCCGTCCTCTTCCTCTGGTTGCACCTGCCGGTAGGGGTCAGGGTGGGCCATGGGGGTTGGGGTGGGGCTGTGGGGGTCAGACCCACAGTGGCCCCAACACCCACCTCTGGTAACTCCAACCCCAGTGCCTGTTTTTGCAGTGTTCCCTGGCTGTGGTGGGCTACCCATTCTCCAAATGGGAAGACAGAGGCCTTCCAGGGACTCTGAGAAGGACTCCATTCAGTCCCTTTAAGACCTGGAAGGGATCTTGGAATTGCAGAATCAGAATGTGCCAGGAGTCTCTCAGGGGAACGTTGGGGCCTCGGGCCTCTGCCCTGGCCAGGGCTTCTCCGCGTGGCCCAGTTATCGCTGAGCATTTCCTGTCTTTGCCTCACTGCCCCCACCCCCAACTTGCACCCACTTCTCACTCACCTGCAGAATGTCCTGTAGGAAGGCCATGGCCTGGCCCAGGGCTGTCTCCAGGCTGGCCCGGACCTTCCGCTCTTTGGTCAGCTCCCGCTGCAGCCGCTGCACCTCTGCCTGCTGCCGGTCCAGCTGCAGGTTCAGCTGCTCTCTCTGGCTCCTGGTGCCAGACGAGTCAGTCACCTCCTGGTTCCAGAGCGATGGGCCCTGCCATTGCTATTTAGCCCACAGGGACCCCCCAACATCCAGCCCCAGGCCTTGGCCTGTTTGACAGAGGAAGCCTCGAGGCCCCTCTAGAGAGGGGAAGTCGCTGGCCTGTGTCACGTGGCTGTGAAGAGATGGGCTCCCCCACCCCACCCGCTCCTACCGCTCACCCCTCTGCAGACCCCACCTCAGTGCCTCCTTGGCCTTCTGCAGCTGCAGGAGGTTCTGCTCCTGTTGGCTCAGCAGGAGGTGCAGCTGCTCAGCCTCCTCTAGGCCCTGCTGCTGTTCGCGGCACCTCTCCATCAGCGCGAGGATGACCTGTGGGTGCGGACAGGTGGCCATGCCCTGGGCCCACTGCGGGCCCCCAGCCAGCCCCGCTCCCCCAACTCCGGACTCAGCCAGGGCTCAGCCCATGGTACAGAGGGGCCACACCTCTGCACAGCAGCCGGGCAGAGCCCGCAGCTCTCCGGGGGTGGGTTCCACTTCAACAAGTTACGGGGCTTTAAACCAAGGAGAGGAAAACCGGAGCTGGGGCCAGCCACGGAGCCCCCTCCAGGAGGGCCGTCCCCACACAGCACGGCATGCCACCTCCCTCGTGACTTGGCTCCAGGGCAGGGCCCGCAGGGCTCCCTCCTGCCTTAGGTGCCAAACGCCCCGTGACGGGGGGCCCGGCAGGCACACCTGCTGGTGGCTCCTGCTGTGCGTGGCCATCATCTTCGTGTTGTCCTCCAGCAGCTCCAGCTGCTTGCACAGCTTGTCCTGGGCGCCCTTGAGTCGGGCGTTCTCGTGCAGTAGCCTCATGCCGTGCTCGGAGACCTTGGACAGCTGCAGGGTCACAGTGTTGTTCTCCAGAATGGCCCGCTTTGTCGTGTCCCACATCTGGTTGGTGGCCACCTTGCGGAACTCCGTGGCCACCAGGGTCAAACGCTGAATGATTTCCTTCTTCACTCTAGTCAGCGTGGGTGGGCGTGAAGGGGGTCAGGCAGCCCCTGCCGATGTGGGGTTCCCAGAGTGCTTCTCGCCACCCTGCTCCTCCCTCCAGGAGGGGCGGGCTGTGGGCAAGAGCCTTCTCATTGTAGACCCTCAGTACCTTTGGAATTGTTAACCAAATCAGTGTATTACTTGTGAAATAAATATGACTTAAGTCACAAAACGTGGCAAAAGGACATTCAGTGGTTCTCTAACGCCAGCATGAGGATTGGAGCTGGAGAGCTTGGTGATTTTCTGCTACCCTCCATAAACCAGTCAGGATTCCGAGGGATGCAGGGCGGGGAGTCGATGCGCCAGTGCAGTCCCCCCAGTTAGGAGCCGAGGCAAACAGAGGTCTGAGCATGGGGCTGTGCCTGGCCCCTCTGATAGAGGCTTGAGCACCCGGCCTGCCCACCTGTCCTTGTCCAGCACCGACTTCTTCTCCAGGCTGTACAGGTAATCCTTGTAGTCTTTCTCCTGCCTCTCCAGCTGGTCCTCCAGCGATGTGAACTTGTCCGTGAGCTCCTCTTTCTGCAGCCGGAACTCCTCCAGGGCTGCCAGCTTCCCCGCTGCCCCGCCGCAGGGCACAGGCCTGGTGAGGGGCTGCCTGGGAGGGCAGGTCCCCCGTGCAGCGAGGGCCTGGAGCCATGCTCCGGCCCCTCCTCTTGCCAGCCCTGTGGCTTCCGGTGCAGTGGGGCTGGGCCCTGCCCATTGTATCGCAGTAGCCTGGAACGTGCTTCGTTCCCCTCCACTAATGTTGGTAAGACTTGCTCAGGGTCTACTTCCTGCACATTCACCACTCCCCTCATGAAAACAATAGTGACAACAGCTATTCCATTTGAACACCTCCTTGGCCACTTATGCTGTCATTAAGCCTCAAAACAACCCTTGCCCTCTGGGTGACCTTGGCCAAGACACTTCCCCTTCTTAAGGTGCTCCCTTACCTACAAATGGGGGAGATAGTACTTCCCATCTTGTAGGATTGCTGGGACAATTATGGAAGATAATGTGTTAAAAGCAGCACATAGCTGTTATTCGAGGTAGGTGTATTATTCCCGTTTCCCAGGTGGGAGAACAGGCAGAGAGGAGGGCTTGCCCAGGGCCACAGGGACCGTGGTGGAGCTAGGATGAGCCCAAAGAGCCAGGGCCTCGGGTTCCCTGCCTCTGTGGCGTGTGCCCCCAGGCCCCTCACCAATGATGATGTTCTCCATGGTGAGCTGGTCCTTGGTCTCCTGGAACTCGTGGCGCACCTGGGCCAGCTGTGCCTCGAAGGCATCCTTCTCTATCTCCTTGGCCAGCTGCAGGCTTTGGAGCTGCTCATTGAGGTCGGTGATCTCATCCACCCGCTGGTTGAGCGTGCGCTTGAGGAAGGCCACGATCTCCTTTTTGTTGTTGGCCAGCTGCTCAAACTCCTGGCGGAACAGCTTCTCCTGCACCGCCAGCTCATCCCACTTCCGCTGGTACCTGGGTTGAGGGCGGGGCAGAGCTCCAGGGGCTGGGCAGGCCAGGCCCCTGCAGCTGGCCACCCTCTGCAGGACCCTCCCACGGAGAGGCACTGGAGGTTCCTCCGGGTTGGAACCCAGCCTTGTCTGTCCTGATCTGCGCTCCTGACCACAGCTGGTGTTTTCTCAGTGCTTTAAGTTCATTGCATCATTAGAATGTAAGTTTCCTGAGGGCAAAGCCGTTGTGTTCACAGCTGTGTCCCCCACACCTAGGACAGTGCCTGGTACATAGTAGGTACTCAGTGTGTGTGTGTTCAATTCTCATAACAATTCATAAAGAAGTAGGTACTATGATGATTATATCCATTTTACAGCTGAGGAAACGGAGGCTTAGAGAGAGAAAGAAACTCCTAGTTAGTAAGTGGCAAAACCAGAACATGAACTGCAGTCTGACCCGAAAGCTGAGGTTCTACCGCAAAGGTTACTGCTGCAGTCGGCCCGGTCTGCGCCCTCCCTAACACTCTGCACTTTGCCGTCCCAAGGCTTTGCACCTGCTGGCTTCCTTACCCTCATCCACTGAGTGTGACCTCCTCAGTGGAGTCCCCAGCCCCTTGGCCCTGAGCCGTATTTGTGACCCTCTCTTTGGTGCCCTTCAGTAGGTTGGACCTTGTCCCGCTGGGCAGTCAAGAACTGATGTGTCTTCCCGACTTGGCAGAGCCCTGACCTCCTTCACCGTTGCATTCTCAGGGCTTGGCAAACAGTGAACACCCAGTAACTGCCTCCCAAATGCATTTTCCCCCAATACATTCAACCTGGGGTCTTAGCTTGAAGGAAGCTCATGAATTAAGAGTATCACATAATTGATTTATTGGTTTCCAATGGAATCATTGGTAGGAGAGGTTACTTGGAAAGATGTTTTACTTCACCATTTACCCAGCCAACATCTTTTGAACGGCTACTGCATACAAGGCTGTGCAGGTACAAAGCAGAATGACCTGCTTCGTGGCACAAGGAAGCAGCCTGGTGCAGAGAAGTCGGGGTCAGGGCTCCCATTTGGGCGCCTTTTCCTCTTGAAGGTGACTTCCCCTCCCTGAGCCCCAGTAACTCCACCTGAACCATGGGGATGATGTCAAGATCTCTCTCGTGGCTCTGTGTCAAGGACAGGGGACCCACCTGGGGCACATGAAGGACTCAACATGAGCTGCATCTGCAGCATGTGGGCAAGAAACGCTGCCGAGGCATCGCCCAAGGGGCTTGCTTGTCTCTCAAGCACCACCTTGAGACTTAGCTAGTGCATTGTAACTGGGAGGAAACTTAGTTTGAAAACAAGAGAAATGGGCAAGTGAACGTGCCTTGGCAGAGTTAGAGAAACCCCATCCATGGCCCAGCCTGCCCACAGGCCAGCTCTGGACGGAGCTTCTGACGCAGAGGACCAGCCTCCTGCCCGCCTGCCCACCCACCGAGCCAGCCTGTCCTCCAGGTCTCGGATCTGGATGTGGTAGAATTCCCGCAGCTCCTCGGCTGAAGTCACGTCTGTGGCCACATCGGGATCCTTCTTGCCCCCTTTCTTCTTCTTAACCTCAGGCTCCTTGGCCCCCTTGTTTGCCTTCTTTTTCGGAGCCATGGCTGGTGGCCACCGCTACTCCTGGGCTCCTTTAAAAGGCCAGGCGGTTGCTAAGGAAGTTGATCTCATACATAGCAACAAACTGAGGGAGTGAGGCAAGTCTTAAAGGGGCCCTGCCCTCTTCCTGGCCGGGCTGGCATGCTCCACCTCCAAGGTTGACAGCATGTCCTTAGCGGCCCTAGGGTGCATCCGAGATCAGGACGCCAGGCTCTCAGGTCACTTTTTTGGTCTCTGGGAGACCCCTTTCCCCCCAAGTGGTGGTAAGTGATGTGGGAACAATACAGCGGGTCAGCCCTAGAAGTCACTACCCCGCCCCCCTGTGCCTGAGCTCCTGGGGACCAGAAGGAGCTGGCCCCTCAACTCCAGGTCCAGGAGCCCTCAGCCCGGCTTAATTCTCCGTGATGCAGCTGCGCAGCATGGTTCTCTCGGTTCACCCAAGGCAGGGTGGGGAGGCAATATGGTAAGAAATAGATATTTATTTATTTTAAATGAATTTATCTGAGCCAAAGTGATGACGTGCTAGGGAGCAAGATCTCAAATGCTCAAAATAGACGTTTTATACAAGAGGCTCCCATACGGGGGTCCCAGGATGTCCCTGTCCAGAGGCTGGCTCGGTCTCCCACAGGCTCTGTAAAAGTGTTCACTTGCCCCGCACTGACCCTGGCAAACAAAGACCTGCTCTGTAGCTGTGGCCCGGGGTTGCAGCAATAGAGGAGCGACTCCCCCGACCCTAACCCCCCCGCTTGTGGTCCAGGCACTTCCTGGGACAGTGGCAGGTCCTCTTCCTCCTGGTTGTCCTAGGGCCCGGCACTCAGCAGGAGACAATGTAGTCTACCCTGGAAGTCTGATGGCTGGACAAGGGGGAGCTCAGCATTCCTTCAGCATTTGGGGTGGGTCTGAGCGGCTAGATCTTGTGAACAGCGGGATCCTTGCAGTGGGAGGGGACAGGGAGGGGCCGGAAGCAGAGAGGTGGATGTTTACTTTTGGCACTGAGGCAGGTCAGAGCAGTGGTTGGTTCAAAGTGGGCTCACATTTGTAGGCCCTGGACTGTGGACAGGGTGACACAGGCGCCGGGGGAGAGGAAGGCCTGACCCAGAGCCCGAGACTTGGGGCTGGCCCCCCAGCCAAAGCGATGTCCCACCTCCCAGCCCTCCAGCAGGATATTGCCGCCCCGCTGATGGGGGTGGAGGGCTAGCCCAGGCAAAGGGTCCCCACGGCAGCTGCTCTCCCTCCTCATGCCTCCTGGGTCTTGACCCTTTTACATGAGGCCCGTCTCAGCAAGGGGGTAGCTCTGAATCCCCAGCGCGATGGGCAGCACGGCCAGCAGCCCCTCAGGTTGCCAGGAGCCCACAGAGCGTGTCAGCTCTGGGACCTGGACTCCCTCCTGTGTTAGCAACAGGGCGGCTCCTGGGGGTCAGGGCGAGGTTTATAAACGCGGCTGCAGTCACGTGGCAAGAATGACCACCTGGACTTCCCGGCCAGCCTTCCAGGTGGTAGGGGTGGGGGAAGGGGGAGCTACAGGTTGAAAGGTACCTCTTTCTGGAGTTTGTGTGGAGAGTCTTCCCAAAGCCCCCTATTCTGGGGCCATGGGACATCATCACCTTCCCCAGTGACACCATCTCATTGCAGCTTCTCGAACTGTCTTCTGTGTCCCGCACCGGGGACTGGTGGAGGTGGCCCCAGGGCTGCTGGAGCTGCCAGACTCTGTGATTTGAGTCTTCTGAGAGGAGTCAGTGAAGTGTGCACCGTGGCTGGTAGGCTGGGGCACTGCTGCCTCTGGTAGGTACTGGAGGGAAGGAAGCCTAGGCCCGAGGCAGGCTGGGAGGCCGGGCATCCTTGAACATGCCTGGCGCTTTGCCTCTGTCTATGGAGCATGCAGCATGACAGAGATTCATTAATCCAGGGTGTGTGCATGTGTGTGTGCATGAGAGAGAGAGAGAGACAAAGAGAGAGAGAGAGAGAGAGAGAAACCACCTCCCAGTCTGTCTTGTTCGTGGCTAAACCCCAGAGCCTAGGATGAAAATTGGCACATAGTAGGTACTCAGTAAATATCTGCTTACTAAGACCATACATGGAGGAAATTCCCAAACAGCATAGTAAGGAGCTCGACCCACCCTCCCTTCAGCAAAACAACAATTTAACTGGTGAAGATTTTTTTTAAAAAAAGAAACAATGATTTAAAGTGTCTGGAAATTGTTTTGAGGGCATACAGGAAATGGGAAAGTATTCATTCAAGAAAATCTAAATCTCTACAAGAATGAAGGTGGTATTTGAGTGATGACCCACTCTCTCATTTGCTGTGGTATTTTATATATATACTCTCCATATATTTGTCCCCAGGTTTCTGGCACAGAACTCTTTAAAAATTTCCCCAAGTGTCTTTTGTTATTCATAACAAGCCCCTTTTGGATCATACTTGAATTTATGCTAATGAGGCAATTCCTGGGCTGGGGACAGCTTCGGGATAGGGGTTGCTCACCAGAAAGACCAAGTACATAACTAGAGGGTTAGAACTTCCAGCAGACCCTGCCCCTGCTCCACTCCCACCCTGGACCTCTGGGGAGACAGGAGCTGGAGGTTGGTTTCAATTATCAGCTGCCAGTGACTTATTCCACCATGCCTACCTAGTGAAACCTCCATAAAAACTCTGAATGTGGGAATTGGGGAGCTTCCAGGTTAGCGAACATCGAGCACATGCAGTAAGCTCAATGAACTCCAAGGTGAATAAACTCAGGGAGATTCATACCTAGACATGTCATAGTCAAACTGTAGACAAAGACAAAAGAATCTTGAAAGCAGCAACAAAGAAACTACTCATCACATGCAACGGCTCCTCAATAACATCAACAGCTGACCTCTCATGAGAAACCATGGAAGCCAGGGACAGTAGAACGAGAAAGTGCTGAAAGAAAAAACTGTCAACCAAGAATTCTGTATCCAGCAAAACTATCCTTCAGCTCAGCATCACCCTCCACAGGCATCACTCACAGGAGGGGACAAAGTTCCTCATCAAGGCCATGTGGATTTGAGCCAGGCTTGTCTGATGCCAAACTCTGTGCTCCTAGCCATTCTGCCCTTCTACCTCCCAGGAATGAGTGTCTGGCGCCACCAAAGTGGGAGTACAGGCCCCTCAGCACAGTCTGGCTGAGACCCCCAGCCTGGACCTGAGCTCTAGAAAGGAAAAGTGACTGGCTGCCGCTTACAAACCTGTCTTGGCTTAGTATTGCTCAGTTATGGATTCAGTGCCACCTGCTTTGGTTTATTTCAGAACCCCCACCCCTTCAAAGAATATTGATCACCACTGGAGACTTTCGGGAGGAATGACTTGCAGGTTCCATCTGAGCTGTGTAACTGGAGAGCCAGGACTTCTGTCAGCCAGGAGCATAACAAGGGCTAGCCTTGTTGGCCATCGGGTGGAGGGGAGGGGGCTGGAATGCGGAGAGGTGCCAGGGTTCCTAGGTCAAAGGATGTCAGAAGTAGTCAAGGAAAGAGACTAGCAAGCGACTGTTGTGGGCCTGGAGGGTACAGGTGGCCCTGGGATGAAGGAACAAACAGTATTCACTTTGCTTTACTGTGAGCTCAATGTAGAACAATTTACAATTTAAAAATTCTGATCTTGGATCTCATTCTAAGGCATTTTGGTTACCAGTGAAGCAACTCATGATATAAGACAATGAGTATCTGATGCACGTCAGGTGGAATGAGCTTCGTGAGTTACTGCATCCCTCTGAGCCCCATCTTCATCTGCAACATGGAAGGGACCTGCCCAACAGACAAGGTACATGAGGGGCCTGATGTGGAACAGCAACTCAGTAAGTGGTCACTGTCATCATTACCTCCCTTAAGGCAAGTCCTACTAGACAATAGCTGAGTTGTGGACATACAACTTCCACCGACTGGCCCTGACTTGTTAGATTTTGTAATGCTACAAAGGAGGTAAGGATTTGAATGAATGAGTGACTGGAGATAAAGAAAGAGTGCCTACAAAGCACCCCATTTCCCTGTGCCCAGTATTCTAGCAGGTACCCAGTGTGACCCAACCCTCACTTAATGGTCTACTGCCCAAGCTGGGCCAAGCCCATCACAGACAGCCTCTGAGACCAGCAGGACATGCACCAGCTTCTGGTCTGGAAGGAAGTTCATTAGGCTAGAGGGTGTGGCATCAGGAACAGAGGAGAGCAGTAACACTGATAAAGTGACTCATCGCATGCCCTAGATATACTGTCACCACATGCTTGAGTACGGAGCTCCTACAAAGGCAGGGCCCTGCAGGCTCTGAGATGGAGACATTCCACACAGGGAGGAACAGGGCGATGGAAGAACTACCTCATCTACAGGCCCTGCCCTGTTGCTGCCAGGGCCATGGCAAGCTGCACAGATTGTCCCCAAATGCAGACAGCTGTAGCTCTTAATGCAAGAAACGGTCACCTGGATCTAGAAGAGTCCAAGCCAGAGAGTGGGGTGGGCAGGATTCTCTGCTGTGAACCATTGCAAAAGCCTTTCTCCTTCCACTTCCCACAGCAAAACCAGTCCAGAGTCACCTTGGACACTGTGAGTGGGTGCTGATGTATTTATTTATTAGACTCGAGTGCTTTAGTACAGAACAGTACAGAGATGATAACATGTTTGTGCTTCAATACTTTCAAACACTGAGATTCTGATAATTTCAAGGTAAACAAGTTTCAAGACAGACTAGCTTTTTTAAAATATCCTTTTGATAAATTACTTTTATATAAATAACAAGGAAAGGAAAACCAACATGTTTGACAAACAAGGTCCTGAAGCATGAGCACTGTTGGTCAGGGGAGGGGACAAAAGAAGCAGTAACGGTAAGAAAACAACCAATGCAAGTGCCTACCAGTTCTGTCCTAAGGAAGTAAGATATCTGAAGCGGGAGAGGGGAGACAGACCTGAAAACTAATCTGAGTGCAAAGGGAGATAGATTTCAAAGCCCGGAGGAGAGAACACCACAATGCATGTATGGGGCGGCTGAGGAACATGTTCTGAAGGGAGAGCGGGGGCCGCATTGAACTAGCATACACCACGTTTGCAACGACATCACGAGACAGTAATATACACACGGTCTGCAGGAGTTAAAGGGTGGCAGGGGGCTGGACAGGGGACATTTTTGTGACTTCCACTGTCATTATATTTCATGACAACAGCAGCAGAACGAATGGCGCGCTCACTTGCGGAGAACAAGAGCTGCTGAGTCTTGAGGATGACGAGACATCCTGCCTGCGTTTGCTTCTTTAATTTTTGCATTAGAGCTAAGTTTTATACAGCTAAATTTTTATACAGAGAATAAAATGATCATTTGCTCTTACAAGCATGACACATGACCCCGCATTACAAAAAATAAAATATTAGGAAGTATCTCAAACTGAGGATAATCTGAGTGGGAAGAAGTCTGTACAGATCCAATGGGTTTTCTTCGGGCTGTTGGGGTCTGTGGGGATGGACTGTCTCTACAGGAAAGGGCCCCTGACCGGCTGCAGAGCCCGTGCTGTCCAGTCAGCTCCTGCCCCTTGAGCCCTCCCCAGGCTGGTCCCTCTAAGAAAGGGGGCCTCTGGTCAGAAGGATCAGGCCTAACCGCTTCTCCAAGAGATGAAGGTCCCCCGTGCGAGCTTGTGCCTCACTTCTCTGGGCACGGTGACTTAGACTGCAGAATGGCTCCCCTCAGGATCCCAGCGCTGGGGACACGGGCCAGGGAGGGTGCTGTGGCCAGCAGGACGCCAGCCGGCACGCAGCCTGACTTCCCGTGGACACCTGGACCCTGCCCACGGCACCAGCACCAGGGTACAAGCCACGGGGGAAGGCCAACAGGGCCGTTCCAGCTCCAGCCTCCCGAGGTGCCACCTGATCTTCGCTGCCCAGCTAATGTGGGTGAGAGCAGGCCCCGAGGGGCGGGGGCTGGGGCGAGGGAACAGATCTATCCTCAGTGTGCAATACTCCCGGAACCGACATCTGAGTCCCAAAAGAACAGAAACCACCCAAGACAGGTTTTTAGAAACACCCAAGCGTCTACCTTCCCATACTCAGGCAATGTGCACGTGTCGCGCTGGGTTATGTACAAGGTCATGGAACCATAACTAATGGGGAGAAGGCGTCCATTCATCCTCTACAGTCCACAGCTTCTCCCGCAGTGTGCCCCTTACACATGGGCTTCTCTTTTTGGGGTGCATAAGAAGAGTGTCTTTTTAAAAAACACAATGCATTATTTTCTTTCATTTTAAACGAGAAGAGGGCATGATTAAACACAAGAACTCAGCGGCAACAGTGCCGGCCAGGGCGTGCAGAGCCGGGAGGAAGGGAGGAAGAGGGTCAGCAAAGTAACCTGGCGGACAGCAGCGGGGGCTGCGGAGCGCTGGGGGAGGAGGGGTCGCTTTTGGGAGGGGTGGCTTATTTTTTTAACTGCTTATTTCTTCATCTGTTTTATTCAGTTTCTTCAGCGTGTCCAGCAGTTTCTGTGGGGTGAGAATGTGCGTGGATCCTGGGGGAGGTAGAAAAGACAGTGAGCTCACCAGCTGTGGTTTTGAACACTTTCTCCTTCCCTGCTCCTCTGGATTCCCAGATGTGCTCCCATTTCCCACCCCCACCCTGGCCTTGGTTAGTGGAAGTAGGGAGGGGACTGAGGACCAGGGTTTGGGGTCAAGTCACCGTAGGCATGGGGGACATTTGGGGACCGCGGATAAACAAAACGCATCTTCTGGCTCAGGCAGGGTTCCCAGGCTGCACCAAGGGAGGAGCATGCCCCTTGCTCAGGGCTCAGCGCCATCTGCCAGGGGACAGGGCAGCTGCATTTGGAACACGAGGTGAAGCAGGAAGAGGAATCCATACCAGTTGGCAAGGGGAAAGGCTGGGAACAGGGCAGGGTTAGTTACGAGGAGCCTGCGTGTGGAAAGAATGGTGGTTGGTAGGGAGGAGGTCGGTGGGCAGAACACCCTGGGGGAGTCACTGACCTCTGGAGCCAGCTGGCTGGCACGGCCGTGGTGGGCGGGACCTCAGGTGTGAAAGGGAGAGGGCCAGGGTACCTGAGGCCTTACCTTGCAGAGACCGTGATTTGTAAGAGATTAGAAATGCTTGCAAAAATTTAAGCTAATGGAATTAGATATACTTCTACTGCAAAAATAAAAAAATAAAAATAAATGAAGTCCTTTTTCGTAAGGAGAGAGAGATCTAGTAAGTGCAGTAAAAAAAGATGCATGGACCGTGTGGTTCGGACATGGACTTACTCAAACAGAACAGAAGCGAGTCGTGTGTACGTATGCATGAGGCCTGCGCACATGCAGCAGCGGCTTCAAAGAAAGAGGTCCCGGTGGGAAAGAACTAAACAAAAGAGGTCCGTACTTGAAAATGTGCCTCCCTGGAGATGCGGGCAAGGGGATGGCCTTCATGGGAGGAGGGGAACAGAAACCTCGGGGTGCCAGGTTTCTACCCCGAGGGCTGGCCCTAAGGAGGCTTTGGCTAGCTCGTGGGGCGTGTTCCGCATACCAGGGTCCCTATGCCTTTGACCGCTACGTGCTCAGCTGGCCCGTGACTGCTGGGGCTGCAGGCCTTGGACCTTCCTGGTCAGTCCAAACCAGCAGAAAACTTGTAAAGCCTTCCCTAGCGTGAGGGGTTTCTTCCAACATTCCGTCCTCTGCGGTTCAAGCCCCAGCCACCTGCCACTGCTGAGTGGCTACTTCCAGCTGCCGAGCGTGGTGCCCACGCAGCAGGCCCCAGCCCCCGAGCTCTAGAACTGACTCAATATTCTGCACACCTGCAGCTCCTGCAAATGCGACATGGGTCAGCAGCATGTCCCTGGGTGTTCCTGGGATGCTCTTTTCCCCCAAAGTAAACCCATTTCTGTGACCTTACCCATCTTCCTACTGGGCCTAAAGAGAGTCAAAGGCTGTCTCCAGACGGGGAGGGAGGACATAAATGCTACCAAATTCTTAACAGTGAACCATTGTGAGAACGAGAGCCTTCTAATCAGAGGACAGCCTGTGTGTCTACTCCCTGAAAGACAGCCCTGGGCCTGGGGTGCAGGGGTTAGTTAGCTCAGGGCCTTCCCGGGCTGAGACAGCAGCAGCCCACGTGCCAAGGAAAAGCGCCCCTAACGCCCTCCTCCCTGGCCACCCACTGAGTTCCAGGAAACAAGACGTGGCAGACTTGATTTAGAGGAAACATTAAAAGGGGTCCGCCGATCAGGTGCTCATCCCAAAGTGCTCCCTATCCTTGCTCACTTGTAAATCCAGGATGTGGAGAAGGCCAAAAAGAGGTTAACAAATTCGTGCTCTAGAATTTCCTGACGTTATCTGATCACTGACCATCTGGTGTTTCCCAGTCATTGATGGAAAGAAGAAAACTTCCAGGACCAGGCGTACTGGGCGGTCAGCGAGGCCTCTGGACTCGGCACCAGGCACATTCCTGGGCTCTGTAAAGGGCCCAGAGCAGCTGGTATTAATCTGAACCATCTGAGAGCCAATTCTTGACACCCAGTCGTTTGTTTTGTTTTCATATCTTGGTCAGGCTGTTCACCACCGTAAATACTGCTGATGGCGCGAAGTGAGTTTAAACCGCATTCTGTAAACACTCTCACTTTGAACCCGCAGTGGCTGACCACGCTCGCCATCTAGGACAGCAGGCGGGCTCCACCGCTCTGAGGGCTGCTCTCTTTCTATGTAACCAGGAGAGTAAGAGGTGTGAAGGGTGATCTCCAAAAACAAAGTCGTCCAAAAGACTCAAAGTTGTGGGCCAGGCACAGCGTGGTCTGCTGGGACAGAAGGCGTTCTTTCTTCGATGACCGGTTTAGAAAACAGTGCTCCGGCCCACCCTGCAGCTACAGACGGCAGAAGGAAGCCCGGAGCAGTGGAGCACGTGCTGGTGGCACCGCCAGGCTTAGAAGCTATGCCACAGGTCTCAATTCTGGGCACCCCATGACCTCCTGCCCTGGGAGGGGATGGGCAAGTGAGTGCTCAAAGAGCAGCTGGGCAGTGGGTAGGCTCTGAATTCAGATTCCAATCCCAGTTCCACTGAAAAATGAGCTTGTCTGACTCCAATCCTGAATAAGGCAAAATACTCACTATAAAAAAACCAAACCTTCCTCCCCAGTGGTAGGTGCCACGCATGCAGTAGTTCCCGCCAGCCTTTCGTCCCTCTTCCATTGGCCCTGGCAGCCGCTGGACATCCCTAACAAACAAGCACTTTTAAAAACCACCCCTAGTGCAGAGGTGAAGATCTAATGAACAGACTTCATTTTTTAGACCATCTGAAGAGGCATGGCTGGCGGGGATCCTGGTGCGGCTGAGCGCTCTCTGCCCTGCAGCGATGCAAACCTGCTCCTTCTAACCCCGACTCTGGGAAGCGGCCTCAGCTGCAGGAGAAACAGTGTCACTCACTGGCGCCTGCCCGTTGGGGACACTGCCATTCACTGCTGAACACGAACACTCATATTCTCTTGACAGCTACAGTGCTGCAAACGCCAGTGTTTTGGGATGAACAACCCCTGCTCTCCAGCGTTCTGCAGGGTCCTAGTCTTCAGTCACGTGGACAATCACAATCGAAGGGACAAGTCAGATTGTAATCTGCTCCCTGACCTCCCTGGTATTAGGGCCCTGGGCCTCGCCTTTTCTTACCTGTACTTCCTAAGAGCCAATAAAGCTTTTCCGAAGCCACACATGTACAACCAGAGCCTATCTGTGCTCCCTTTGCTCTGATGGCAGCTGAGGTCCTCTCTGCTGATCGAGCCAAAAACAAAGGAAACCAGTCTGCAAAGGAGAGGCTTCTCCCGAAGCGGGGAGCTTAGAGTGAGGCCCAGCAGGCACCCTGGGGACCTGGGTTTGCGATTCTTTCAGACCCTGCAAGTGGCTGCCTCCACTCAACATCTGTCCTCTGAGTCTTAAAGTATCTCTTGCAGTAAGTGCTACCCACCCACCTGCCACCTGCACACAGAACGAGATAGCTCTGATCACCGACCGACCAAGGTGCTTCCACACAGCGGCTGTTGCTGTTCGCTGTGCACTGGCTCGGCTTCCTTTGGGAAGGCAGCCCGCGCAGGATGGGAGGCACCCGGGCCCCAGCCGGCCCCCGCGTCCTGGCTCATAGCCACTTGCCATGTCTCTCCGCTGCTGCCCGGGGAGGGGAAGAGAAGGGGATAGACGGTCTGACCTTTAGAGCAAGTCCTTTGGGGACAAGCATACTCCCTTCCTATATACAAGCACCTCTGCCCCTCCCAGCCAAGGTTCCAATGGACCCTTCCTCTGAGGTCCCCGGGGAGTACGAGAGAGTGGGTGGCACTGCGGTTTGGGCCACCAACCTGAATTACTGAATTACAGATGGTTAGAGCTTGGGACCGTACGATCCAGCCTCCCTGTGTTCCGCACACTGTGGTCCCCACTTTTCCCAGGTGACTCACGTTCCGAGTCCCCCCAGGCCACATCTCAGCCCAAGGGAAGGTCACTGTCCAGGGCCCACTGTCGATGGAGTGTGTGAGGTCAGGTACACGAATTGTGGCCTCCGCACAGAGTAGGCCACGAAGCGAAGGCTGGACTGACGCCACAGTGGCGTCCAATACTGGCCTGCCACTTAGAGTCACCAGAGGGGGTTCCCGGCAAGCGTGAGGGAGGGAAGGAGAGAGGGAGCGAGGGCAGGACGAACACCTGGGTAACCACCACACGGACCGTGGGCTCCTGGCTAAGTGAGATGAGGGCCCGTGGGGTGGCAGAGAGTAGGCGCTCTTTAAAAGAAAGAGCACAGATTCCTCCCCGAAGGCTCTCAGCTCTTACTCACCAGGAGGCTTCAGGGGGAGAGGAGGGTGTGATTACTCAACTCTTGAAAGGATCACAGGAGAATTAAAATAAAAGCAATTACTGAAAAAGCAAGGGACTAGTAAGTGCTGTTTGCCCCAGAACAACAGGAGACGTGGGTTCCTTCCACGGACTGCTGGAGTTCACCAGGACATGAAGGCTTGCGACCCCATGGCCCCTCAGAAACTGTTCCTCGGGATAAGAACCTGTCTCTGGAAAGAGGCACTTGTGTGTCTAACTACCACGGACTCGGAGTCTATTCTCACGCTCTCCGTCGAGCCTTCCCCATGATCAGGGCCCATGGGCATCGCCACTGGAGCTCTGCTTTCTTGGACATGACCGTCCCTTCACCACCTGCTGACCTCCTTCTCAAAGTTCCCACACCGCGTCCCAACCAGGATGCAATGTGTTCTCTTCCTGGTGCCCACAAATCCTCCCGAGCCAGCAGGCTCGGGTGCCGCACCTGCGACATCCCTCAACTCCCAGCGCCCCGGGGACTGTTCACAGCAGGTGTTCTTGTTTTCAGTGTGAACCCAGCGGGCTGCAGCTGCCGGACTGAGCAGCGGGTAACCCAAGGCATGCGTGGGCCGGCCAGCCGGGGCCCGGGGGCTCCCGCGGCAGGGTGTGTGAAGGCAGCATCGGACACATTTTCAATCGGCGTTAAGAACTGCAAGCATTTTCTTGTTAAAGGAAAATTAAATAAACAATAAACTAAAAAGGAAAAAAATAAAAAAGAGTGACGGAATAATCAAAGAAAACCCTTCAGAGCGGAAGAGTTTCTTTTCTGTAATAAGCTGCTTTTACTTTTGTTTCTTTGGCTCTCACTCCATTGTTGGAGCCTGATCCTCAAAAGATACCCTAGAGGACTCCCTGAAGTCGGGGTGTCTCAGGTCCATGAGAAATTTGGTGGGAGTAAGAATATGAGTAGAACCTGCGGGAGAACAGAGGCCAGCTGACTGCTTGAACAAAGGTACGTTACAGGAACATGCCAACTTAGGCCTACGTTTTATGCAGCCAGTGAGGGATGAGGAAGCAGGATGCTCACACACACACACGCACGCGTACACACGCACACACGCGCACTGCAGGGCTGACCAGCATGCACGAAGAGGCGAGGCCACACAGCGGACGTCAGCTGTCTGAGCGAGGCCTCTCTGGGACCCTGCGGGCCCCTTTCTCTCCAGGTTCCCACCTCCCAGCGGGGAACCTCAGGTCAGGGCCAAAGCTGAAGAAGGAGGTTTACCCCTGCCCGGCTCTGACAGCTTCTGCCCAGCAAGGCTGTGTCTGAGCTGAGAATTATGCAACACATGCATGTAACACATATGCAAGCCAGGAGCACAGAGATCTCCATCACAGGGCCTCCATAACACAAAGGGAGAAACAGTACAGGGAGAGATGGCCAGCAGACAGGGCAGCTTCAGGGAGTGGGGAAAGGGGGGTGTCCCATCGCCCCGCTGAGTGGCGGCATCTAAAAGGCGGTAGGCAGTGCCAGGTCCCTCTTGGAGACACCCAGCAATGACCACATGGACTGGTCTGTAGAACCTGAGAGCCTCGGGGGGCACTGTGACTTTGGTCACTCCGAAGCAGAGGTACTAAGCAGACACTGCGTACTGAGATAAGGGGAAAGGGCAGGGCCCGGCCGGGGCCATATGTGCTGAAAGCCTCTTGCCAATTATGGTCAAGAGGTGCCCAGGCAAGTGCTACTCCATTTTGTTAAGGAAAAGATGGAACAAAGAGGAAAACCTCTGGAGAGAGTGAGACTTCCCCCAGCTCATGCTTTCTCTCCCGGCCCTAGAAGCTGTGGAAGCTCCTGCCGGCGTGAGGAAAGGAGGAAAGCGCCTGCTGCAGTAAGTTGGCTCTTACAGTTGCCTAGTGTCCTCTGGAAAACCATCAAGAAATACCAGAAAGGGTGCGACAGACCCAGAAAGCAGGAGGACCGGGCGGCGGGGCCCTCAGCAGAGCCCAGCAGTCAGGCTGACGTGTGTTGGGCAGCATCGCTCACACGCCGTGTCTGCCCACCTCCAAGTGGGAGGCAAGGGTCGGGGTCCGATCCTCCCTCCCCTTCGCGGCCCCCCCCACCCCGCCCCCTTGCCTGAGGCCCGATGCTGGAACACTGACAAGCCCCACCTCGGGCCTAGGTCGAAGCTGGAAGCGGTGTTCTTCATCCCATCTGGTTGGATAAGGAGGTGCCAGCCTGGAGAGGCAGGCTTGCGCCCCATAGGACCCGCAGGGCTGCGCAGAGCAGGAAGTGAGCCTGGGGCTGGGGGTCTGCGTTCAGGCGCGGCCCGGCCCGCACGCAGCTGCCTCTGGTCAAGAGACAGTGCAGCTGGGGGGAAGGAGCCCTTTGCCCCTTTAGCTTTTGCTGTCCACAAACAGGTTTAGAGGCTCAGTTTGGCAGGGGCAATGGAGAGTCAAGGACGGGATGAAACACCAAAGCGTGGAATGGAGTCACAGTGCGATGAAGCAGCCCCTTCCCTCTAGAAAACATGCCCACTCACCTATCAGCACTTCCCACTTGCCGTTGGCCTGGGTCACCTCATATGCGCAGCGCATCTCACTCAGACTCACTCCTCCGAGGATGAAGATAATGAGGCGGGGACCACTGCGGTACTCCCCCGGGGCCTTGTTCTTGTGCCAGTGCCCATAGCGGGCGCTGAGGGGGCGGGGGGAGAGAGGTTAATAATGTTTATTGGAACTTACAGTACTTGTCACTTCATACCTCGTGACTTGTTTACACATGCGTTCTGCACACAGTGACCAGAGTAGATGTGTAGTCAGCGCTGTGAATGGACTACAGTGGAGAATATCAGCACCCTGGCTGCCTGGAGAACCACCATGCGCCCCGGGGCCGTGACCTAGTTACCCTCTTAGAGACATGCAGGCAGCAGACGGGTTCAGGTCGGCTTCACAGTTTGACACATTAAGTTCAACAGCTCCACCCGGCACGATGTTCGCCCACGAGTCTACCCCCGGTGGTGCATGTTTCTAGGCTTGTCTGGGAGACCTGCTGGCAGTGAGCAGGGAAGACGGAGTCTAAGGCCTGGCTGCAGCGCACACGCGTGCACCGGGATGGGGTGGGCCAGGGCCGCCCCGGCACCGGGAAGCCAGCCGAGGCAGACACAGCACTTGCCCACCAGGGCTCATAGTTTAACCAGAGCGAGTGGGGCAGGGGCGGGGAGAAGGAAGCTGGTCTGGTTGTGCTCAGTGACAAACACAGGGCAGGGCTGTCTAGCGCTGTCCAGGAGCCACTGGTGAAGGTTTCCCAGAGGAGGTGACACTGAGCTGTCTCCTGAAAGATACGTATTTCAGTGGTGGGACATTTCCCCAGAGGTGACCCCTCTTCCACTGGGCTTCCTCAACAGGTCTTCACCTTGTCCAGGTTAATAACATGGAAAACACAAAGCAAAAATGAAAACAAAACGAGGAGAGCAAGGCTCCTCTCGACAGGGAAATCTTTGCCCTTCTTCCAGTCTTACGACAGCATTAAAGTCACTTTCCATATCTCAAAGGCACTGGGGGCCTGTGTGGGCCAACACAGAGAATTTCACAGTCACTCTCTCTGCCAGAACAATTGTTTGATATTCTGCCACTGCCAGCCAGCCTGCTTGGGACGCACCACTTGGGATTTTGCGACTCCAATGTCGCAGTAGACATTGGGCCTGCACTGCTGTGGGGCAGGGTCCACAATGCTATGCAGGCCACACAGGCCTCCACCCCGCAGGGGAAGGCCTGGGAGTGAAGACAGAAGGAAGAGGGCCAAGAGGGAAGATGGGCGGGCAAAGAGGCGAAGGTGTGCATCTTAAAGCGCCCGGGTGCCCTCCTGGAGCCGGTGGCTCTCTGGTGTGTTCAGTTCTGACTGTCCTCAGGAGCCAAGTGAAGCTCTCGTGGCCAGAAAAACAGAGCACTGCTCCGGCTCTGAGCACCCTGCCATCTCAGGGAAGCCACCAGGCTGCCCGTGAGTCAACACAGCAAGGTTGGAACCTGGGCCACACAGCAAGGGAGGCAAGAAGAGAGTCAGCAGGTAAGATGCTTCCGTAGGTGCTGCGGAGTCCCAGGGATGGGCACATGGCGATGTCATCCGAGAGCACAGCAGGGAAGGGCTCCCGATGACCCCAGGAAGGAGGAGAATGAGAGGAAGAGCTTTGTAAAAAGGGGTCTTGCAGGCGCCGTGGGTGACCAAGAACACCTAGTGGAGAACCCAGGGAAAGACTGCTGGCCACTCTCATCCTGAAGCTGAGAAATGTCTGGGCGGCACCAGCACGTGGCAGAAGCCTGGTAAACCCCAGGCACCTAAAGTGCCATCGAGAATGGAACCTGAGAAAGGTGGCTCTGTGCCGATGATGTAGCCATCCCCTTCTTAATTAGTAACTAAAATTAACTCCTTAGTCACAAGTGAAGACAGAGCGCATCGAGCACCTGTTAGTGTGGGCTCTGCTCTAGACACTGGGAATAAACAGACACAGATCGCTGTCCCCAGGGGCTGACATGCCAGCAGGGGCGGCTGGCCACAAACACGGTAGATGCCTATAGTACAATAAGTGGCAGTGGCGTCCATGGAGAAAAATAAAGCAGGGAGAGAGATGGAAGTGCTGTGGGGAGGTTGCAATTTTTTTACTTTCTGTAACACCTTTATTGAGTGATAGATCCCATATCATACAATTCACTCATTAAAGTGTACAATGATAGTGATTTAGTAAAGCCGCAGAACTGAATGATACCCATAGGCAATGTTAGACCATTTTTTTTTCATATGTATATGGAGAGAGAGAGAGATTGATTTTGTTGTTCCACTCATTTATACATTCATCGGTTGATTCTTGTAGGTGCTGTAACTGGAGATCGAACCCGCAACCTTGGCATATCAGGACAATGCTCTAACCAGCTGAGCTACACAGCCAGAGTTTAGACCATTTGAATCACCCCAAAAAGAACCCCATACCCATCAACGGTCTCCTCATTCCTCCACCCCACTCCCATCCCCAGTCCCTGGCAAGCATTAACCTACTCCACCTTTACAGATTTGCCCATTCTGGACATTTCACATAAATGGACTCATACAATATGTGGTTGTTTACGATTTCTTCTTTCTCTTAGCTGACTATTTCAAGGTTCATCCATGCTGTAACATGGATCATTGTACTCCAATCCTTTTTTTGGGCAAATACTATTCTGCTGTACGCACTTGCCACAGTTTGTTTACCGTCCATCAGTGGATGGACATTCAGGTCACCTCAGCTTTTGAGCTAAGTACGAGTGATGCTGCTGGGCACACGGAGGTGCTGAGACTCTAAACGGGGCGGTCAGGGAAGATCACAAAGGGTGATGCTTGACTCAAGACCTAAAGGAGATGAGAGGCAAGCCATGCCGATGTGTCGGGGACCGGTCATTTCGGGCCATGGGGAAAGCAAGTGCAAAGGTCCTGAGGCAGAAGTAAGCCTGGCATGTTCACGCAAGACCAGGGAGACCGGCGTGGCCCCAGGGGAGCGACCGATGGAAGGGAGGAGTGAGGAACGAGTCACAGGGGAAGAGAGGCCGGGGGAAGGACCGTCGCAGGCGTGGTAAGGCTCGGCCTGCACCCGGCTGTGATGAGCACAGCGAAGGGCTCTCACGGGTCGTGCTGCATCCCACCAGGACCGCTACGTAGGTGGCATCCCACCAGAGCTGGCCCCACTTCCTGCGCCCTCGCCTGCTCAGGGGCTCTCGCCTACCTGACAGCAGTGGTGCTGAAGGAGGCAGAGGAGCGGGTAGAGATATACGGGTAGTGCTTGGTATCGAGCTTGTCCTCAATAGTGTCCTGGGGAGCAAAGAGACTGACGTTAGGTTTGCCACCTGCTGGAGAAGGGGTGGTGGGAACCCAGGGAGGACGATTTGAAGAACAAGTCACTGAGCGAAAACCGTGGCCAGGTTTGCAGCAGCCAGAGCCTCTGCCCGCTGCCGGCGCCAGTGCTGAGGGCGGCGCTCGGTGAGGAAAGGGCGCGCGATACGCCTGTGGGTTTGCTCTTTAAGTTAAAAAAAAAAACTACATTGATTTTTCTTGCTTCCTTTCTAATTAATTCTTTTTTCTCCCTCTTTATATTCTATGTGAGATTATGCTGTATTCTGTCCAATAAATTCTTGATACTTAGCATCAGTCTTGTAGAAACCAGGCGTGGACAGTTGCTCATGCAAGAGAACGCCTTCCATCCTCAGTTTTCAAGGGGCTAAATATTGGGTGGGTGGATTCCAGCTACCCACCTCCTGCTGCCTAGAAATCGACACTCCTCCTAATGGCTACCATGCAAAGCCTACACAGGTCTTTTGGGGGGACTGGGGAGGAGGGGCAGAAGGAGGGAGAAGAGAAAAACGGAGGGAATGAGACGGGGGTTGGCTATATCTAGTGCACCAAGCGAAGAAGAGTTCTCAATGTTTCATGTTCAATCATCGTTTTGTGAGTTTTAAAAACAGGAAGTTGACTCACAGTATGCATGTGCAATGTATTCATTTTAACATACAATTCAGTGTGAACACCTGGTCTGCTACAAGTTAACAAAGGGATCCTGGGCAAGTCCCTTCATTCTCGGGACTCAGCCCCGTCCATCTGTCAAGTGTAGGGGTCGAACAGATTATCTCCAGTCACACCCCAAAGATCTAGAAGGTAGGATTCAATGCAGGGTTTCCTTGATCTAGAGAGAGACAGGAGGGATAGGCTACTGTACAAATAGGAAACTACAACTACGCACAAAGCATGCAGCCAGAGGACATGTCAGTTGCGGGCACAGGACCAAAGTATAAAAATATGACCCCAAACACCAAGTGACATATATACACATACAGAGCCCCCTAACACACGCTACAGGAATCCAGGGGAGGCCTCTGTGGGGCCGGTGTCAGACGGGTGTGGTGGCGCATGGGATGGTGAGACCCGATGGGACGCTGAGGGCAGGCGGGGTTCGGGCAGTGGAGAGGCGAGCGCAAACATCCCAGACAAGGGGCGACTTGAACAGAAGAACAGAGGCAGAGTCACGCGCGGCAGGGTCTCTGGTTGGCATGGATGGCTGAGGGAGGGGCGGGGAAGAGGGGGCAGGCTGGGGTCGCATCCCAGAGGTCCTTCTGCACCTGCAGGTGTCCGCATGGCACAGCCACGCCTCAGCGTGGAACTCATCACTCGCTGGACCTTTGCAGGCTGTGGTATGAGTGGCTCCTTTAGGCATGGTACCATCGAGAGGTCTCAGACAGGGGACCAGGGTGTCCTACCTGTGGCCCACGGGCCACATGCAGCCCAGGATGGCTCTGAATGCATTCCAACACAAAATCGTAAATTTATTTAAAACACTATGGGATTTTTTTGTGATTATGTGCCGCAACGTACTTAATGTGCGGCCCAAGACAACTCTTCTTCCAGTGTGGCCCAGAGATGCCAAAAGGTAGGATACCCCTGGGCCACTAGACCATATGCACCTGGGATCTCTGGGACTGCTTTTCACAAGCTCTCCAGACAAGATGTGCTATGAGGCCTGAAAGAGCTCCGGAGACCTGGACCCAAGTCCTCTGGGTGTCACTGCGACCTGATAGCTGGTGAAGCTGGAAGTATCTGGGCTTCTCTCTGAGTGACGAGCCCTGGGCCTGGCTGTCCCCTCCCACCCCGCCCACCCCAGCACCACTGACCTCCATGATGTCTTTAATGATCGGGGTCCAGCGTGAGAGCTGATAGGTCTGCTCACTGATGCGCTCCTTCCGCTCTGGCTTGCTCCTGCGACGCAACGTGGACTGAGGCAAACACACACGAGATCAGCCTGGGTCAGGGGCCACGTGGGTGGCCTTGCCAGCCCCTGGAAATTCTCCCCCAAGGACTCCCTTCAGAGAGGTGGCATGCGCTGACTAATGAGTGGGGCATGGCTTCCCAGGAAAAGCTGACCTTACGCCTCTTTCAGAAACCTGGAGCAAAGTTGGTTCTTTAAAGCCACGAAAAATGACAAATGTGGGTCAAATATAAGACTGCCATTTAACAAAAAATCCGGGTAGTTAAAAACTATTTTGCTACCAATTAAGTACAGGAGAAAATACTACTTTGGGTGCGACTTATTCTCGGATTTTGCTTCAACAGCACAGGGCGCACTGAGAAACCATCTCCATTCTCATTTTGGTTCCTCTGGGGAACAACGATCTAAAACGGCCAGTTGTAGGTCTCGGGTTGGGTGGCTCCAGGACCAGATTGGGCATTCAGATTCCCAGAGGAGGGCACCTGCGGCTCGAGCTTTACCGGCACAGGGGGGCTGGGCTGCCAGCAGAGGGGAGCACCCCGCGGTCCCTACCAGCAAGGCCCCCAGCCAAGTGCTCCGACGGGGTCTTAGGCCTCTTCCTCACCCTGGAGCCCAGCCTCTTCCAGGGCTCACTGTGTGGTCAGCCTCCCAGACAACCTGCCCTGACTCGGTCCCGAATCACCACCAGTGCACAAGACTCAAAGTGGCAAAACCGCCTGGCGCTCAGTGTTGATTCTCACAGAAGCAGCTGCGCCTGGCTGTCCAATGGCAGAGGCAGATGAACTGGAAGAAGCTGGAGGGACTCCTTTCGTGAGCTGGTTCCCTGACGCAGCTCAGCCTTAGTGACTGTGGACTCCCGGCCATGCATGCCTGGGCCCTGGTGCTGACCCCCGGTTTTACTGACGTCTCTACCTTTAGTTCTCTGTTTTTACCTGTCTTCCCTTTCTCACCGTTGACTGCATGTATCACAAGCTGCCCACCAGCTTCCCTCCCGCCCCGCGCCCCCCCCGCTACTCGCCAGGCTGGCCTCTTACATCCGTGACGATGGGCACACCCAGGTGCGCCATGTTGGTGATGATCTCACTGTCCTCCGGGGGGATCTGCGCGTGCTGGATCAGTTTGTTCAGGTTTTCCTCAGTGATGCCTGAGAGAACAAAACCTCCGGTCACCGCACCCACCCCCAGAGGCAGAGCCGATCACGGGGGCGGGGAGAGCGCCCCCCTCGACCTCCGAAGTGGAAATGAATCTGTTCACTGCATCGACTTCACCGTCAGACTTGTGAGGACGAGACCAGGACTCCTATCCCACTTCCTCCGGGCTGTGACCATCAGCAACTACCCCCACGGTCTCTGTTTCCCTCTGTCTCCTGCTTCTCGGCCATCCCTGCCACCCTGGGCCCACGCCCACCTCAGCGTGGACAGAGCCTCTGTGCCCATCTTTCTGCAGTGGACGCTTACGGATAACCATGATGGGGTAAAACTCAGTTACTTAAAAGCAGAAATTACACGTGTGATGGGAGTTAAAAGCATCTGGCAGACACGCGCTAATAAAGGGGCCAGGAAGCTGCCCCCGCCCTGTCCTCAGCTACACGTCCACAGCACTGTCAACCCTAGAATCACGGGGGGCACGGCCTCCAGTGGAAACAGATCTGCCTACGTTACATTTCCCCAGATGTAAAGAGCCCCTCAGATCTTCTGGTTAAGTACCCTTTTCATGTCTTTCCAGCTACTTTTCCGCCTTGTTTTGTCTCTCCCCGCCGCCCCCTTCTGCGTCCCACCATTCCTACCATTCTTCAGAAAGATATAGAGAAGGATGATGCGGATTTTGTCGTAAGTGCTGACATTTGCATCCAGAAGAATGGGGACAATGGCTCTCATGGGGTCCTTGATCTTCTCGCCTTCAGCGTCCGTGCCCATGGCCAGGTCCTGCAGAAAACACACAGTGTCGGCCCCGTTTCTAGTGACAGTCAGGACAAGCGAGGTTTTAGAAAACTGCTGGTCCCAGGATGCCGGGGGTTTGCGGCTGGGACGGGGAAGGCCTCACCGGGTGATCCTACTCTCACACCGCCAGCCGCCAACACCGGGGTAACCTGCACGGCTTCTGAGAGCACCAGTGAGAAAAAAGCTCCAGGTTTCACTTTCCAAACACCGCAACTACAATGATTTGCCGTCTTGTCTGAAGGTAGGCTGTTCCCTTTAGTTGAGGGCCCGTGTGCCGGTGCCAGCTCCCCAGGGAGAGCTTCGATGCCAGCAGGTCCTGAGAGAGACGCGAAGCCCTGCTGCGGGACTGGGCTTCGAGGGAGGCCCTTCCCCCAAGGGGGGCTTTGGCACTGGGAGCGGCTCTGCCGGGCTTGGCTCTTCCCACCTGCTTCCCCTGGCACTGAGGGACGTATTTTTTGAGGTTTAATGACTCAGGTTTTTAGGGTCTGTTTTTAGTCTTCCAAACATTTCTAGGGTGAGGATGGAAAAAGAACAGGCTCCCAAACCTGCAAATCCAACCCAGGGAGATGGAGGAGGAGAGAAGGGTGGACGAAGGGACTGAAGGTGGAGGAGAGTGAAGTAAGCACAGTCCAACAGGCCAGAGAAAGCAGTGTAGCAGTCTCGGCCCATCGAGAACTGTTTGGTCTTATTCTCAGAGACCAGCAGCTGCAACTTCCTCTGCGGCTCTTACAGAGGTTGCCTGAAGATTCCTTTTTTCTCTCGAGATCCCAAAAGTTCATAACAATCATGATCTCGACTTTATGGCCCCTCCCCCAGGCCCTTTCATCTCTCAGTCCACCGCCAGCCTCACTGATGTTTGTTCAGAAGGGCCTGATCCGGATACTCTTGAAAAGTCAAATTAAGTGTAATGAGTTCAACAAATACTATCAAGTACTTCTGAAAAGATTTAACTTCCGAGGATTAAGCCCAACGGCATTTTCACTGGTCTAGAGCTAAACTCTCTCGCGTCCAGCGACCTTGTTTTGGAGAGGCTACCCTGTGTTTCCAAGGTCACCTGGGAAACCAACGGGTTTTAACAGGGCTGCTTCCATTAGAAGAGCAGCAGTTAATTGAAACGGGTCTCATAAACCTAGGCTGGGCCCATCACTCATCGAACCCCAAGATTTAAACCTCAGTCTCACAGTGAGAACTACTGAGCTGTTTTCTCCTATGAAAGGAGGTCATTTAATGCCCTCTTTTCCCGTAGAAGCCGACCCTAGCTGAGCAACACTATCATGCTCGAAGAACGGAGCGAGTCCATACGACATTCCTGGAAGTCGCGGCGGCCTTGCTACTTCCCTTTGCAGACGAGGAATAAAAAGACAGAAATGGGCACGTCAAACAAATCCGTGACAGAGACAGAACTCACATCCATACTCCCCACTTGCAGTCCTAATTGTGACCAGCGAGTCTGTGGGCAAATTGCCCACCTGCTACCGCAAGGTTCTCTTTGAGCCCCTGGGGCCCCAGAGCTGGGGTGGTCATGGCAGGAGGAGATACGGGCAAAACGTCAGACGCGGCCAGCCCTGTCCACGCAGGGCTCAGGCCCCTGGGAAGCCAGGCATGCACGTCCAACGGCACGGCAGTCCAGACCAGCCCAGTCCCTGCCACTGGGGGGGGTGGGGGGGGCGGCACTGGCTCGAGGTGAGGCACACTGTCTAGTAGGTTGGCCCATCTCTACTCCCATTTCTATGATTCTGCAGGATGGTCAAGTCAGAGGTTAAACTTGGGTGGGGTAAGCGGGCACGGCAGGAAGAGAAGGAAGTGGCCCTACCTGCTCCACTCGGCAGAGCTTATCCACAGTGCCTTGGTAATGCTTCATGCAGTCCTCGGCCAGGTGCAGGTGGGTCGAGTACTAGGAAGAAGTAGTTTGTGATCAAGGAATTACTTGCGGATCCGTGCAACATCTACCAAGCGCCTGCGAGGCATAAACACTGGGCTGGCGCCAAGCCGTCTCCGGCTTCCCGAAGGAGAGGAGACTTGCGCAGGCCGGCACACAAGCACCACAGGGCATGGGGATGTGTGTGTTGGGAGAGGGGCACGAGCCACATTCCAAAGGAGGCCAGAGCAAGGGGGAATCCTTCGTGGGGGGAGGGCGTAGGATGGCTTCGCAATGTGTCCACAAATTCTTTGATATTCTTCCCTCCAGGAGGAGGAGCTTAGTTCCTCTTCCTTGAGTGTGGGCTGGATTTAGGGACTCGCTTTTTAACCAACAGTAGGGAGGAAGTTATGTGTGACATCCCAGAGCAGGACATAAAGGGCACTGTGACTTCCTTCGTTCTCTCCCCACCCCCCACCTCCCGTCACTCAGTCTGGGGAAGCGAGCTGCCATGTTGTGACGATGCTCAAGCAGCCCCATGGCGAGGCCCATGAGAGGAGGAACGGGAAGGATAAAGAGACAAGGATGAAGAGGAAAAAGGAAAGTCATAGAGAATAAGCTGTCTATCCCAGCTTTCCATTTTTGCCTATTAAAAATCAAAGGGGACTGAAAATCCGTGGATGTCAATGACTCGGTTAGGGAAGTGGGACTCCGAGATGTCTTTTTGAAGCTGTTTACACGCACGACTCCAGTCGACCGTTTCGGACTGCCGTACCTTGCTGAGCTCTTTCTGGTACTGGGGCATTTTCTTCAGCATCTGGGACAGGTCCCGCATGGTGGTCTGTGAGGGAAAGGAAAGCATATGGGCTCACGCCCACAGCGCTGATCGAAGAGGATGTGCAAGCCTGGTGGGCGCAGGCAGGATGGGTCAGCAGCCACCACTGGGTTCCCCAAGAACGTTCCAGAACTCTCAAAATGAATCGTTAAACACCAGGTCATGTGTGTTAGGTTGCCAGGCCTCTGGCTCAAAAAAATTATCCAGCCACATACTACGACTGTCTCATCGGTGGAGAACTGAACCCTGAAGTCCAGCAATAATGCGTTACTTATTGTAACCAGGAGGTTACTGAGAGCCTAGTTCTTGCCAGAAAAGGATGAGTGCTTGCTGCTTTTCTGTATCCTCAGCTCAGACACTGTTAGCATGAAGTTCACACTTCACCCCAGCAGAAAGGCTGCCGCTGCGCAGACAGGTGGGCCGCAGGGAGAAGGCGAAAACAGGCTGGGACCTGCACCCTGACAGGCGAGAGGGGTCTACTACCTTCTAACTGTGGGACCCACCTAATCCTGCTCATTTATCCAACAAAAGTTTACTGAGTTATTACTACATGCCAGACACTTTTAGGTGCTGGAGATACAAGGACAGAAAAAAAAAGTTTCAATTTCTGCCTTGAAGGAGCTCACATGTAGCAGAGGAACCACCATCCTACTGAGTGGGCTGGTGCTCACGGGGGCATCAGAGGGGGGTGCCCAGAGCAGAGGCAGTTCATCAGTCTAGGGAGCGGCAGGGAAGGATCCTCCCCCCCGCAAAAATGACACCTAAACAAAGGACCGAGTCTTCACAAGGCAAGGCTCAGGTAAGGAACTCGGGCATGGCGGGAGCAAGGCGGCAGGAACACAAAGGAGGGAGACAGAGGTGAGACGAGAGAGTCTCCGGAGCCTGATGACGCAGGTGCTGTAAGATGCATGGGAGGTGGGGCTCGATTCTACTGGGAACAGGAGGCCCCCGAATGGTTTTCAGCAAGGGAGTGACACAACCAGGGCTGCATCTTCCTTGACTGAGATGGGCAGCCACCTCTAATCAACAGCCAGGATAAGGAGCAGCCCAGGAAAGTCAGGTCATGAATTCTAATTCCTCCACAAGCTAAAAAAGGTGTTGCAGTTCTTCTGGCTTAAAATGAATCATGATCCAAAACAGCAAATATGAATCCTAAGAGTAACAAAAAGAAGCTCTCTATAAATATCGAAAGACAGGCTCTGGATCTCAATTTTGAATGGAAAAATTGAGACAAAATGATGGCGGATAAAGGGAGGACTATGGCCTCCCCGCTTGCTGGTCTGATGCCAAGGAGGCATCCTCCCTGCTCCTAGAGAGAATGCAGGGGTCAGCTCAGAGGGCACTGCAGCGTTAGTGTGCGTTTACCTTCTCTCCCGTATTCATTCTCTTGCTGGAAGAAAAGTCTTTCAGAGAACGGGTGACTTCCCTGGAAGACAGAGGGAGGCAGCTAAGTTTCAAAGCAACACTGAGCGCGTCTGTATGGATGATGCTAGAGGAACAACACAAGATTCTTCCTGTAGGACAACGTGGTGACTTTTCCTGCCAGGAAGGTATGCATTTAAAGTAATTTCCTAAGAAGTTTTCCAAAGTGTTTTTCTCACTAGTATTCTAGACCAGGGCACTCCAGGGTGGGGTGTATGCGATAATTCAAGAAGAGAGAAGAAAATATGAGGACAACTATTTTATGTTTGTTTTACTTCATCCTTTTCAAATTTATGTTTTTGTATATGTTGCAAAATATACACATTAGTACGATAAGGTGTATATTTACTTCACAGATAAATTTAAATACTAATGAATCAACATCTTCCTAAAGTTGAGTGACCCCGAAGTGTGGAGACCACTTCTAAACAGTAGAGCTCTCTAAGACTATTATTTTTTCTCACTGTTCCTTGTAAATTTCCTCAGGATATGCCAACTCCATGTAGCAGAATGTGTCTTTTTGTAAAAACAGAATTGTTTAAAGGTCTTATAACAATGTTTACATATTGGAAATATTTTGAAGCATTTTCAAAGCAAAGCAGGTTCAGGGCACACAGACATCAGGTCTTGCTCAGGAATCAGGTACCAGACAGGAGGGAAAGATTGTATCAGCTACAGAACAGAGGCCTGCTCCGGTTGTGTCTGGATCTTTCAGTAGAACAAACTCACTTTACGTGTTCAGTGTTTATAAAGCATTTTGCTGAGAGACCTACAAATGCTTCCCAAAAACCCTAAGGCCCGCCTCACACAGAATAGACCTTCTAACTTCCTGAGGTTGCTGGAACCCCAGCTCAGGGACCAGAAGGGATTTATTATCGCAGGGGAGCGTGCCGGCGGTGTGCGGGGGCGGTGATTGCCTGCCCCAAGGAGCTAGCTCCACCCCAGCTGCCCGGAGCTCATGTACCGCCATGCGCCTGGGGACAAGTGTCCTGCCTGGAGGAGGGCAGAGGAAAGAGGTCCTTACTGCGACACTTCCGCGATGTGCTTGTGGCGCAGCGCCACCCAGAGGTCGTCGTCCTCGTCCAGGAGCACTTCCTTCACCCGCGCCTCTCCGATGCCGCTCGTCTCATACCTGGAGGGGGAGGCCCCACAAAATTCACCCAAGTCCCCTCTGGTTTGTAACAAACAAGGGCTCACAGCCCTCAGCTGGCAGACGTCCCCATGAGTGAGTTCACAAGCCCCACGACCGCCTGACGCCTGCGGTACGGGCGGCAATGGCTATGATTCTCTGGGCAAGGGAGCCCAAAGCTCTAACCAAGGTCGACTGACCTGACATTCTGTTTTAGATTCCTCAGGGTCAGCCGATGTGAGCGCCACCTGAGCCACGTGGTTCAGGGTGTGGGTTCAGAGTTACTCATAAGGGACAAAGATCCTGTTTTGTACCTCTCTCAGAAAGGACTGGGTACCAACCTCCAATGTGTGATGCCTAATGACCTTTCAGCAGCTACCCGCAACAGGCCCGCAGCCTATGGCTGCCTGTGAAATCATGAACATCTACATCAAGGCAAGAATTACAAGTGCCAGAGGGAGAAGAGCAGAGATTCCCTCATATTTTTAGAACCTTCGTTTTGAAGCCGCTATCTTTATGATCAATGTTGTAAAATAAATGACATGAAAACAACGCAGTCTGCATAAAGATAAAAAAACGTTTTTAGAAACTGAGTTTGTAATGATTGCTACCAAGAAAAATGTTTATAATAAAGAAAACAGCTTCTCTGCAAATAAACTTCAGTGACAAACTTCTGTTGGTATATTTTGTCATGATATTTGGTGATCTATAAGTGAGAAGATTCACCTCTGAATAAAACATGCACACATGCCCAAATCAACATAGTGACACATCCAAGCAGGCTATCGGCGGAGGTGAAGTGAGCTGCGAACTGAAGTCCTTGTTCTCGCCCAAAAGGGGCCCGCGTTCCTGGATAGAAATGCCATGTGGATTTTGGGAGCTTTACAGAAGAGCTTGCAGGCTTATTGGCAAGACTATCAATGCACCCACTTTTCCCAGGATTAATGACGCCCTAATGACAAACCAGAGGTGTCTCTGGTTCATTTGGAAAGCTGCAGTCCCTCCGGGGCGCGTCACTTACTTGTACACATCATTCTCAATAGGCAGCAGGTCATAACTCATGGCCTGAAAAGTCAGTTCGTGAAGCACGGGGGAGCTGGGGTCAAACCCGCGGTCCAGGATCAGGAGCTGGGAGCGAGCCTTGTCTGGGCCCTAGAAGGAAGGACACAGGGAACTTTCACCAGCCTCTCCATCCAGGACTGCTTTCTGCAAGTGGAGCAGCCCCTCCGGTAAAAGGGGCAGCAGGAAGTGGCTCGGAAGTGAAACCCAGTAAAATAGCACTGACTATAGTCCGTTTACTGCTTGACAAGAATATTAGCCAGCACCGTGTGAGAGAGAATCCAGCATGTGTGTTTCATCACGAGGGTCCTTGGGGCACACCTAAAACTGCAGCGGGGGCCCGAAGTGAGCTCACAAAGAACAGAACCACCTGGGCTCAGTGACAAATGGGTGGCCCCCCTGATCTGGTCTGCCTGGGACCAAGTAGGTTCCCAGAATGTGGGACTTTGGTTTTAAAACCAAGATGATGAGAAGCTCTGTGCCTGGGCTGCAGCAGGGGTTACATGAACCCATACATGTGACACAATTAAACAGAGCTGACACACACACGCACACATGTGTACAAACTAGCGAACCAGGCCTGGCGATTGTGCAGAGGCCCCTTTCTGGGGCTGACGCTGCACTGCTGAGGGCTCCCAGGATGCAGGGCTTTCAGTGCTACACCCGGGGAGGTCCCCAAGGACAGACACAGGCTGGCCACCCTGGCAACACCGACAGAACCTCAACCAGCCTGCCCGAGGCTTGAGCGTCTCACCAGAGGCCTACGCGCGGGGATAGAAGCACTCACACCCACTCTGTGAGCCACGGGGCTGTCCCCAGGACTGCCACCCACATGGGGCCACTTGGTGGAAGAATCATACGGTCCATGTCCAGACTTACCTCCCCCATGGTTGGGTCGTCAGCTTTGTAGGCATCGAGCTTGTCCTGGATTAACTGAGCCAGCAAGGCATTGTCCTTGTATTCCCTGACAAAGGAGGAGTGACACAGGGTGAATGCCCTTGGGGGAGAAAGGCGTGACAGTGAGGGGCGAGGTCAAGGACCCTGTGAGCTTCGCCTGCACGGTTCTTGTACAACAAGAGTATATTCACACAGTATATGTATAATTAAAAAGGACACACAAAATAAAATACTGAGCTCAGTGCCTGGAATGTAAACATGTGATTTTCTACTTCCTTTTTCTTTTAACTATGGAAGTGAAAACAGAGGTCATTTTTTCAAGCAGCCTCAGATTAACGACTACACATCAGCAGAGGGTCCTGACCGTCCATCCTTTGCCCACAATCAGGTCATGTGAGCCTGCCCCACCTGATTCTCACTTCCCTCAATTCCAGTTCCCTTGGGTCTTGTTTTGACACCAAGTGACACTTTGTGCAGGCAGAGCCAGAGAAGTGTACGTGAGAACCTCTGGACCTTACCCCTCCGCTAAGCCTGACGGCGTTTCCTGGGGCCCCACCCATCCGTACACAGTGTGCGGCTGCCGCCTGCCACCTGGCCGGCTCAGGCCTGAGGCGCCCTGTGCCGGGCCCCATCCCTCCCTCCAGCGAGCTCCCGTCTCCCACTTCTCTGTCGGGAGGTACGGCCTCGGCCCCCTTGCTGGACTCTCCCCAGGCTCGTGTCAGTGAGCACCGACAGCAGAGCGAGGCCAGGGGCTGGGGCCGACCACGAGGCCACAGTGCGGCTGGCACACCGACCCCGCGCTCGCAGGGCAGGCCCTCGGCTCCCCTCGGGGCGCCCCCCACCCGCACTGTCTCCTCGCCGGACTGCAGCTCACATTCTCATCTTCACGCTCCCACAGCACTTCACTCACTGCCCCTTCAATCCACCCTCAGGCTTCCCAGTGACAGCCACTGGAGGACACAATCCCAAGCTGGCACAGGACGCGTCCAGAAACGGCCCCGTCTCGCCCAGCTGCCCTACGCATACAATGTGTGAGACCCGCCATCCTCCTCAAACATGTCCTTGGCTTTCGCAGCTCCACACTTTGGCTTATACCAACGGCAACAGCCAACTGTCCACAGAAAAGGCCCCTCTCCTCATCCAAACCTGTCGTTCAAGACCTAGTTCCAATGTCACCTCTAGTACAAAGCTGTTCTTGATCCTCTGAGCCTGAAGGACCCACTCCCTCCTGTGAGTGCCTAGGCCCCCGGCCTGTCTGTCCGAAGGCCCCACCTCGCGGGCCTGCGACACACCTGCGGGTAGCTTCCCTGCCTGCGCAGGCCGGGGGCTGCGTCCTCAGGTTAGGTCTCCCAGCACTTCGCACACGGCAGGTAGTGATAAGTGAATGCATTTATAAAATCTGAGGAATCTGTCCTTTAGAAAAACATTCTCCTTTTATTTTACCTTACTCTGAAACACCTTCTGCAGAGATGATGTTTGTTTTTAAAGGTCAGAAAACGATAAAAAACTATAGGAAGCCTGGGTTCATATTGTTACACAGGGGTTCATATTTTAGTTACTCATGACTGAACACCCGTATCTTTCATGCTCTTTTCTGTGTGTGTTATGGAAGAACAGCTGTAAACGCCTGACGTTCAAACCCTGAGCCTCCTGAGACAACTGCCAAGGGAACCCTAAGGCGCGAGGAGGCGCCGGGACAGCCCCCGGCGGCGCGCTGCCTTACCCCCGGTACCGCACGGCGGGGTACTCCTTCAGGGTGGCGCACAGAGTCGCGATCTGCTCTGCCAGGCGCTCCAGGATGGGGTTCTTCATCTGAGCCTTGTGCGGACTGTAGAAGCTCTGGAAAGAGTCGGCAGAGTCCAGGGAGTACACCTGAGAGGAGGGAAAAGTACCCACGCGTACAGTGTCTGCATCCAGAATGGCGGGCTGTCGGAATTTCCTCCAACCCTGGTAGTGAGTCCACAGAACATGTGTCCGTTCACTCCTCAGATGCGTGCAGGCTGTGTGCCGGGCCGGGCGCTGCGCTGAACACCGGGAACTATTAGTGACCAAAACACGCCCGTCCTCGTGGCGTGTGTGAAGGGAAGGCGGATGATAAAGAAACAATGAGTATAACGAAAAGTAAGTTTTAAGGTATATGAGAAATTGGTAAATGTATGAGAAAATGACAAAGCAGGAAAGAATGCCCGAAGAGCTGGACAGGGTGGACAGAGCCTCATTGAGAGAGTGACGTTTGAACAAGGGATTGAGGGAGGTGAGGAGTTTCTCACCAGAGGGAGAGGGGAGGCGCTTCCACATGGAAGGAACGGCTGGTGCCAAGGCCCTGAGGCCGACGAGTCTGACGGACGAGGAGGCGGCCAGTGTCAGGCCTCACAGGCCACTGCAGGTTTAACTAGGTAAGGGATACGCTAGAAATTGGGCTACGACTGTGTGCAAACAATGGAGCTTTTTTATGTAACAACTTCATATCCTCAGCAGTATGTTCTAACTACTTTCCTTTTTTTTCCTCTTTGGAGAGTTCCAGACGTTTAAAGTTTTCTCTTAAACTACTTTGCCTCTCAGTATTCTCTTAGAAGCTCATTTACGTACACCACCCTGATCATCTAGAAAACTCGAGGGTTGTTTTTTTTAAATTTATTATTTTCAAAAACCCATAAAATATGGTATGTTTGGACATGATAAATTTGGATTTTGTTCAGCGCGGGTGGTGACAGGGCTCACACAGGGAAGAAGTATCTCCTGCGCTCAGACTGCGAACAGGCATCGTGCCAAGCGAGCCGGGGGAGAGACAGCCCTTGAATGTTCACACTCTATTTTTTCCATCCCTCCTTCGCTAAGAATAGGTGCCTCATTGGTGTCTTGAGGCTGATCTATAAAACTCCATGTGCCACAATCATTTGTTTATCTCTACAAAATGCCTACAAGTCCTGTTATTTTATTTCTTTGCTAGGAGAAGACATTTTAACAAATCTTACAATACGAAGATAAAAATTTTGTACACTCTCTCACAGCCAGCTTCTCTCTCACTGGTTTAACAACTCCGGGTTTTTCCAAGGGGGCGCAGTTTGCTGCCGCTGCACCTGGCACTGGAGGTGTTAACGGCTAATGACGAAGGCGACCATCTGTCCTCTCAGCACATGACAGGCTGAGGTTCTCTCTACATAAAAACAGTCTCCTTCACAGCAGATGGGTGTTGTCTGATTTCTTCCCATCTCTCCCTCTGCACTCTTTTTGGATTGGTTATTCAGGAGTCAGCCAGTTGGAGTGAACACCGTGAGCAAGGAGAAATGTGCACAAAGAAAGGCACAATGGCTTCAGAAAAGTCAGAAACTGGGGGCAGGAAGAGGGAGAGGGCAGACCCCTAGGCACATGGCCCCTTTCCATTACCCACACATCCACTCACACCACCTCATTCGGTCTGACGTGCGACAGCTTCCTGCCCCGCCCTCTCAGAGGTCCTGGGGGAAGAAAGAGGATGCAGCGTTTCCCGCTCTCCTTGGCGCTGCCTCACCTGGGATTCGTACGGGAGAAAGGCGATATTGATTTCCGTCAGAGTTTTGATGACTTTGGCTGCTCGAGATTTTACCAGCTCGTTAAACAGGGCATCTGGACAAGCTGCAAGAATGACAAAAGATACTGGGTCTTCCTGTCCCTTTGCTCACTCATTTCAACAGTCGCGTGTGTCCGGTGGATTCTTTAGTTATTTCGACGTTAAAAAGGCAAATGAAAAGTTCATCCCATTCTAAAATATCCACTACCTCTAGGCTGTAAAAGGAATATAAAAACAGCTCCAAGACCCTCAACACAGGACAGAGAAACAACGGGGAATAAGGATTGAGATATTGAGAGCTAATAAAAACTTTTCTTATGTCGAGGAGAGGTGATAAAAAACCCAGAAGAGCTGGAGAAGGGAGGAGGAAAAAACCTGTAATATACACAAACACCATACATACATCTGACATGCTTACGAAAAATAAAGACAGAAAAATTGACTCATCGAGCCATGTGAGGCAGGCATTTCTCCTGGACCCCAAGAAACTCGGCTGCTCAGGAGACCCTCTTGGTGGGGAACCATGACTTCACATGGCTCTCCTGGGCCAAACATGGGTGCAGGGTCCCAGAAATGTGTCATTGCTCCGTTATTATTACTAATGCCGTTTACCTGCTCTCTTTGTCACCCACATTCAAAAAGTATAAAATTATTCCCCGCCAGAACCCTTCGCCACTTCCTCAGTGGCGAGTTTTGAGGGCTTCTCGAGAGAACACTAGGGAAACTGTTACTACTGGGCACTTCACAGCCATCCGGCCCTACTCATTTCTCTCTGCCATTAACAAAGACTGACCAAAATGTTAGTGCCCCGGGCTCCACACATACATGACCTCCACAAAACAACACAACAGATGCCAGGACAATGATGCAGTTCTAGCTGATACAGGGACAGACGGAAGTGCACTAGAGTTTACAGTGAAGGCTGGAAGTCCACATGGTGAGCCATCGAGGCTGGCCTTGGGAAATCCTGCTCATCCCTGAACCCCCTAATCCTAAGGAGAGGCGCTATTTTTCATCAGGAAGGACTGCACAACCTAGTAGGTTTGTGTTTGCGTGTGCTTATTTTTGTCTCTTATGAGGTTTTTCTTCTGAAAAGAAAGTAAAAGATCGGGACAATCACAGCAACAACCCCTTTCTTCCCTGTTGCCCTGACTTGGTCGTGGTTCCGCCCTGCATGCAGGAAGACCACCCTGGGGGACCGGGAAGCGCCTGGTGGCGGTACTTACAGTCGGTGAAGAAGACATGGGCGGCCCGGTACTTGGCCGTTGGTGGGTCCTTAAAGTCATTGATGAGAGAGCGGACAGACTGTGGAGAGGGAAAAAAGAGGGAGCTGAATCCAATTCTAGAAGTAAATGGAGCCCATATCTGGACCGAATTAAATCCAGGAGGGCTTTCGAGCTGCTTGCACAAAATGGCAAGGCATTTTTAATGTGTAATTCTAACTCATGTTTGGCGATAATTGAGTCCTGGGGACTTGAAATTAGGATTGAGAGTACAGACGAACAAAAGCCTTCCCTCCTAGGTCATTCCAGGATGACACTGTCGGCTGTTTGGAGCCACCACAACATGGGTTCCTAAGAAGGGACCCACAAAAGAGGAAACTGCTCAGAAACCTTCCAGGAGGTTCATACTGATGAAGTTCTGGCAATTTAGTTGCATCTTCAGAAACTCATACATAAGCCAGTTTTTAAAAGCGAAGAGAAAGCATGAGAGCAGGAGGGAGCTTACAGGCACTGAGAAACAGACCTCCGACAGCTATGAACCCAAAGCAGGGGGGGACCCTGCACAGATGTGGATTTCAGCCAAACCCCCACAATGGGAAGACAGGTAAATCTGAACACAAACTGGGTACGGACTAATTCAACCTGAAAGCATCCAGTACCTGAGTCTGGAAGGTAGATCCCTACCTTGATGAAGTGGGTCTCCTACCCAGACAGGAAGTACCATGGGGAAGGGGCCTAGAATGTTGGCCACTGGCTTTCTGGACAGTGGCTGTTTCAGAAAGCTTGACACTCCCTTCGCTCCTCACTGTTCCCTCCCTCCCTGTCTGTGGACCGCACGCAGAAACAGAGCAGCGTGTTAAAGGCACGCTTAACCTGGAAACTGCAGAGGCTCTGTGCCACGCGGCCGCCAAGCTAGTGCGTGCACCCAGCTAGTGCGTGCACCCAGCCAGCGCGTGCGCCCAGCCAGCGCGTGCGCCCTGCCCTTATCCATGCTCCCCTGGGGGACTGATTTACCTTCTCAGATGGAGTGATGAGATACACAGCCTCCAGGCTGGGCAGTGGCTCCCTGCACTTGTTGATGTCTTCCACAACTAGACAACAAAACAGCGGCCCACCATGAATAAGAAAACACAACTGGTCATCACAAAACTGGAAGCAGCAGATACAGGCCATCTTCAGACTGGCACAGATAAAAACTGGGGGCGGGGCAGGGGGCGGGGTCCCTGTCCCTTCCACAGAGTTACCACATCCCACTGTCCCACACCACTCAAGATTCTAGAAAACGTGAAACCTTCTCACACTAGGTATTTCCCACTTCCTGTTTCAGTTTAAGTAAATTCCTTGATCTGCTCTAATGGAAAATGGAAAATGCTGCCTCATTCTGCCAAGAACAGTCTTTTGCCTCTTCCTTCAGTTTTTTCCTCATCTGTCCCAAATAATCCCAGTTCCTTTAGAATTTCCATGTGGGGTTTATTAATCAATCTTTGGATAGTTTTATCATTTTCTTCTATGTATCAAAGGAGGACAGTCCACACATACCTTCTCTATATAGTACTGCCCCTCTCAACAGTTCAAGATTAAACATTATAGTTTGTTAAGCAAACCAGGAGCTTTTGATTTACCTGTTCTTTTATGGTTATATCAACTACATCGCCTGGAAAGAAGAGCTTTGGAACAGTCGTCACCTTACTAGTCACCTGACAGAGCTCAGGAGAGTTACCTGCGCTGTACTGTTCTCTGGTGTAGAAAGGGCAGTACATACTACGGTGCCATTCTTCCTATGCAGGGGACTGAGGGAAATAAAAGCATCACTTTAGAAGTATCCTTTCTAAAGTTTATAAAGACTTCTCTCCCCCAAATAATGTTCAAATTAATACCCAAATCTTTCAACCATCTATTTTGCCATTGGTTGTACATTTTTGAATTTCATAAGCCCATAACACTTCCCTCCAAAATGTTTTGGGATTCAACACTGGGTGACTAACTTTTAAATTCTGCCACATAAGGACATTTTTCAAAAGCCACTTCTGGGGTAGGGAAGCATCTGTGTGTGACAGGGGAGAGCTGAACCCTCATCTACCACAGGAAGTCAATAGACAAGTTCTAACATCGGTGAATCAAGAGATTAGATTATAAACATTGGTTTAGAAAAATCCAGATGATAACCAGAGGAGCGAGCCGAGAGCTGTTTCGGGGGTGACTGGCCTGGGGCGGAGGGGGCAGGGGAGGCCACCACTGCTCCTTCCTTAGAAGCTCTCGGCTCCTTTTGGCTTTCCCCACCTGACTTTGTACATTTTCTGCTTAGATAGAGAAAAATATTGTTTTTAAAAATTAATGAAGAAAATAACTTCATAGTTATTAAAGGGATAAGCCTGGCTTTGGATAGCTGAGTAACAGAAAGTCACACCAAAAATTAGGCACTGTCATTTGATAAACTAAATTTGGAAATGTGCTTTTAAAAATTAGGGAATTGGGTTGTGATTATATCCCCAAAATATATATATATATATATATATATACTTTTCACCTAGAATTTAATCAGTAGCACATCCACAACATGTTATTAACATAATTTCATAAAAACATGTTTAATCTTGAATAATGGGAAAGACATAATCTTGGAATAAAGGACAAACATCTAAATTAAATCACTTAGCTTAATGAAAACCTCCACCCTCCATGTTTTCCCTCCAGTAACTGGTACAGTTGTGATTCTGATGAAGACCAGCCACAGTCTGTGAGCCACACATCGTATGAAGTTGTCTCTGGGGGAACCAGTTGGGGGCTGCATCCCACCCAACATTTTTTCAGAGGAAAAACAAAGGTTAACTTCCGTGTCTAAAATAATACTTCTAAAGAGACTGGTTTTCAATCAATGCTGTTCCAAAGGCTGAAATGCAAGATCCCTCTTAAAAGGGGCCACTGAGTAAGATGAGAGCCACAGACAAATGTGAGTAAGAGTCTGGGACAAGAGCCAGGTCTGAGATCTATTCTCAGGTGTGACATTGGCTAGGGACCTTCAGCGGGCAATTTTTTAAAATCTACTTATTGCGAAATTATAACACACATTGTAAAGATCGAATAAAAGATAAACACACAAATAATTATAAAGCAAATGCCTATGAAAGCACCACCCCGGTTAGGAAGCAGAACCCAGCGGGACTGCAGAAGTGCCCCGTTCCCCTCCTTTGTCAACTTCCTACCTTCCCTCCAAAGAGAGCCGCCAACCTGATGAATGGTAACCACTTCTTATCATTTGCCGCTGTGTCTACACTTCGAGACAGTATGGCTGTTTGTTCGGATTTGAGCTTTATGTAAGTTAAAGCATACTGCAAGTACTTGTTTCATATCTTGCTTATTTTGCTCACCAATATGTTTATCAGATTCATTCATGTTAGTGTGAGTAGTCAGAGGTCATTCATTGTCATTGATATATAGTATTCCACTGTATGACTCTACCACAATTTAGTTTACATTCTGCTCCTGATGGACTGTTTGCTTGTTTTTTGTTTTTTTTTTTTGTTGTTTCCAATTTGGGGCTCCTATAGACAGTGCTGTGAGCATTCCTGCACACGCGCCCTGGGCACACATGCCTGGGGCTGTCTAGGACACACATCGAACCACAGACTTGTGAGCTCATAGGACAGTATGCACCTTCAACTCTATGAGACACTTCCAAGTGCTTTTCAAAGTAGCTGTGCCAACTGACACTCCATCACATGGGGCTTCCATTTTCCTACATTCTCCTGTCACTTGGCATTATCAGAGCTTAAGTATTCCAGCCTCACTCTGATTTTAATTGTATTTCCTTGGGTGAGCAATTTTTCATGTATTTACTGGCCACTTTGGATTTCTTCTTTTGTTATGTGCCAGATCTTTTGCTCATTTTTTTCCTATTGGATGGCCTGCCTTTTTCCTTGATTTAATCTTCCTTTTGGCATCCTTTCACAGATATTTAATGAGCATCTAGCAGTGGATTAGGGACTTGCTGATGAACAAGAAGCCTGGATCTCTCTGGGGAATTTACAGTCTTATCACCCAGGTTGTTGGAAGAATCTAAAGTCAAGTGAGAGAAGCGCGAATAGGGAGGAGGGCAGCAGGGCACAGAGGGAAGGCCTGAGCACCGCAGAAGGGCAGAGAGAATGGTGCGCTCACTTGTTATCCCCTCGGTCATGATGTCCGTCATCTTACAGCAGGAGGAGAGCATCCTCATGCTCAGCTGATCCACCACCAGCACCTGGAAGCAGAGAGACCAGCTTAAGGGGCAGAATGGCACCTTCCCCACCCTCTCATCAGCCCACCGCGCCAGTTCTCAGCGAGAGCCCAGACATGCAGACATTGAGCTTCGGTGTTTCCTATGGGCCAAAAGTTTGCTGAAATGCACGCTGGCTTTTTTTCTCCCACACGCGAACTTAACTTGGGAGTTAAGTTTGCTCTCACTGACTTGACTTAATTTTATAAGCTTAAAAAAATTAAACTTTTAATTTTTCATAATAAAGAGAGTGACACACCCACACATATAATCTACGGCACCCACACCCAGAGAAAACTGTGTTGGAGAGGACTTTTCCTGGGCATTAACCTTTCCTTAAAGGGAGACTGAGCACTCATGCCATAGGTATGGCTGGAAGGCGAGGACTGTTCCAATGTCATCAGGACACACCTTCCCCAGCACGTGCATCATATGGGGGTAAACCATACTTCTGTCCAGACGGAAGGACAAGAACGTGCCATGGGTCTAAAAGCTTCACGCCTGCAATTCTTCAGCTGCCCCTTCCTAGCTCCATTCAGCCCACGGTGGAGAGAGGCATGGAGCTAAAACGAGGGTAGCCCTCCTCTCCTTCTTGAATGGTACAAACCGAGGTCACAGAGGCCAGACACGGTGTGGCCTGGACAGCGTTCTGTACAGTACAAGGGCCACTTTTCATGTTATGAGGCAGCTTCCTCAAGAACACTTTAAAATTCTTAGGTCCACAAAGACAGGCATAAAGAGTTCCCATCAGATGGCCTCCGCTCTGGTGGTGAGGAGGACGTGCTGGTTACAACAGGCTCACAGGCCAGCGTGAGACTTCAGACTCCTGCTGGGCCGATCGCCTCTGCTGTTCCCGGCCGCAGACTTGACACCGTGTGGGGCCTTGACTGCAGGAACACATGGCAGCAAGCATGGTTGGAATGCTCTCTTCAACACCACCAGGGAAGTTCAAGTGAAACTGCATGCTTTCCCGGCCATCGTAAGGCCCAGCCCCACGCAACCAAGTGATTCTTCAAACACCGGCTTCCTGACTGCGGGACAGCGCGTTGACCCACCCCTTCCGTCATCCCCCCCAGAAACGGAGGCCATAATCAATGCATAAACGGTACGTGTTTCATGTACATTACACGTGACACACTGAGCACTGCTCTCAGAAGGGCATGAATAAATACGTAATTATTGATATAGGGAAAGACCGGAAGAAGGCTTTTCACATCACTGTGTGGGCTCCGTGCAGAGGCTCTAGGGCTGCCAGAGGGGCCGGAAGACCTCACCTTGCGCTCCCACTGTAGGCAGAGTTCCCCTTCTTCCGTTTATATATGTGGGTTCCAGGTAAGGTTTTGTTTGAAGAAAAGAGTTCCACTGCTAAACTGCCCCACCACGTCATATTTCAGATAAGCTTTATGACCAAGAGATTGCATAACCAGGATCATATAAAATGAGAGGCATAAGCAGATTTTTTTTTTTTTAATTCTCTGGACACAATAAAGGTCTTTACTCCCTGCTTCTACACCTTTCCCCCAGCTCTGCCCCCAAAGGAACTCCCCTTGAAGGCCACTAATCGCCCTGCTCTACTTACCTTCCACTCCCCCTTCTTCTTTACTTTCTTGATCACATCATGCATGATCTCTAAAGAAGGATGGCGAAAAGAAGGGAGGAAGAAAAGAAGGAGGGAGAAAGGAAAATATAATGTAATTTCAAGGACTTCCAACACCTGCCCGTTACAGTAGGTCATTTTTCTCCCCACTGGCTTTGTTCTTTGTTCAACCAATCTGCTCACTGAGCCCTAATCAATCCATCATAAAGGGAGCTAGCTTCTTTCGGTTTCCTCAGTTGGGTGGTTCTCCAAGTTTTTGGTCTCAGGACTACTTTACACTTTTAAAAACAGGTTCCCAAAGAGTGTTTGCTTATGTGGGTAAATACCGTTATTGACCATATTAGAAATAGTAAACCTGAGAAATTTTTTAAAATTAATTCATTAAAATAACAATAAACCCATTATATGTTAACATAAATAGCATTTTAATACAATGTAACCGTATTTTCTGCAAGAAAAAGGTTATAGTGAGTATTGGCTTCCCCCCCGCTTTGCAACCCTCTTTAATGTCTGGTTTCATAGAAGACCGCTGGATTCTCCTATCTGCCTCTATAATCAGTTATAAATCAGATAGCGTTTGGAAAACTCCACTGTGCACTTGTAAAAGAATACGAGTGAAAAAGGCAAATAACACCCTATTGGTCTTATTAAGAAGATCATTTTGACCTCGTGGACTCCTGAAGGAGCTTGGGTTTGTGAACCACTGCCTTCAACGGAATGAGTGAGAGGCTGCGGCGACACGCCAGGCATGAGTGCCCCTCAGGCTCCAGAAATGGATGTGAAGAGCCACTGTGAAGCCCTCCCAGCCCTGAGCATATCTGGGGGACGCTCTCCCCTCAAACCACACCTTTGGTAAGCCCCGGTCTCCATCAGGCCCCTGCACATGGACCCCCAGCCACGCCGGTTTCCTAGGAAACACTCTCTCATCGCCCTTTCTGAATCCAGGGGGTAAACAGGCCTGGAAGGACAAGTGTGTTTCAAACACGTGGGTCATTCTCTAGAGTACAACTCCTAACTCTGCTTTCGACTCTCTTTAATAATCTGACGTGTCCTACACTCTTTAAGAATTATATTCCTGTCCTGGCTGGTGTGGCTCAGTGGATTGAGCGCCAGCCTCTGAACCAAAGGGTCGCTGGGTTGAGTCTCAGTCAGGGCACATGCCTGGTTGCAGACCAGGTTCCTGGTGGGGGGCGCATGGAGGCAACCACACACTGATGTTTCTCTCCCTCTCTTCCTCTCTCTCTAAAAATAAATAAAAATTTTTACAATAAAAAAAGAACTATATTCCTGATTATAAAAACACACTCACTGCAGTAAACTTGGAAAACACAGAAAAGTATAAAGAAGAAAATACCATGTATTACTCATGAACTTAAAAAAAAAAGAAAAATCATTTGTAATCCTGCCAACCTGAAACGTTTAATTAGCATTTTAGTTACTTCCTACTAGCTTTTTCATACTGTATATGTAATTTTGATTACACTTTTTTTCCAGTTAATAAACTCATTTCCCCAGGTTAATAAAAATGCTTCCTAAGATTTTAAACGCAAGAATAGCCCACAGTTTAGTCAACAATTTTCCCAATAGCCATTTAGATTATTTTCCATGTTTCAGTGTAGTCAAAAATTGGAAACAAATATATCCAATGACAGAGCAGCAATAAGTAAATTAGGTTACATTTTTATAATGGAATACTATACGCTCATTAGAAATAATGATATGGGAAACTATATATGCATGCATTCACTCCCTCATTCAGTAACATTTGTTGAGTAACCACTGTCTGCCAATCATACGCACCAGGCACGACCAGCAGCAGCAGGACACCCCATGGCAGCAGTAGGACAGAGGGAGGGGGCGCTCGTGGGCTTGGAGATTCGGTGGCAGGTGTGAGGGGTGTCCTTGTGGGAGAGGACGTCACTGGCTGAGAGTGGGCAGAGTGGCGTTGTATATGGAAGGTTTGAGGAAAGAGGGTACCAAATGCCCGCCCAAGGATCGGGAAAGTGAATTTACTACCGACGTGTTTTAGCATTTCTGGACAGTATTAAGGGTTAATTGAGGTTCATGACCACAAATTTAATGTGAAAGCAGGCAGCTCAATTGTGTGATCCCCTCCCCCACCGCCAAAAAAAAAGAAAAAATGTTTGGCTGTCCAGGTGGAAGCCAGGAAGGAAAGAAGTGTTGGTTTCACCTAAGGTTACAGTTTCCCCAGGCGAGCACAGCGGAGGCAAAAAATGCTCAAAATACACAGGTGAGGGGGAAGGAGTGCCACAACTACTTTTTAAAAGTATATATACATAGGGAACATCAGAAAAACTTATATCAAAATGTTATTTTTGTGTAGTAAAATTATGATTAATTTTAATCGCTAAATTTGTCTTCCTATGTTTTCCCAAGCTTTCTGCATTAAGTACATAATTTTTTTTGTAATAGGAAAAATGGCCTAAAAATACCGTGGCAGTGAATAACTCTGTGCCCAGAGCTTTTCTTCACACTAACTGCTTTTAGGAGAGCTTTCTGGGTGTGAAATAAATAGGTAGAGTATAAATTCCTGGGCTCCTGATAAATTCTGAATTATTTTCCAAAACCACAATTTACACCCTCACCAGTACTTTGCACAACTCTCCAAATTAACATACTGACTGATGAAGTAACACCTTGAGACGTGTTTAGTTTGATCTTTGCTAATGTGTCAGCAGAAAATGGTATATTTCAATATCTTTATTTAAATTTATTTTATTACTGGAGATTGATATTTGCTTTGCTACTACACAAAATTAGTTTAAATTGACTGACTTTAAATTCAAGCCACCTTTTGTTAGGGGAACCCAGAGGCACCGCAAGTAGTAAAGACCAGGAATAATGGTTGCAACTTCAACCCTTCCTACTGCGCTGTGCCTGTTCTGTACTTCTCAGGGGATATATCTATCGTGGGTACTGTTAACAGCCAATCCTAATACTGCCCTACATTTTTCTAATCCAATACCAAAAAGGAAACAAGGATGAGAGCCCATTTGAGCCTTAAGAGTCAAGTCGCTTAGGCTGCTTCCCCACAAATAATCCCCTGGCCATCAGATTCCACCTCTCCTGTAAGTTCTCTATGTGTGAAAAGAACAACAGTTCTGATGCTGGTCCAGCCAGCTGGTCTTATTTCTGCCAAATCATGTGAAACCTACAGCCAAAACATCGCTCCAACTTCTCCATTATTGTGAGGGCCACGGCCCTGGTGGACTCTGCTTCCCTCGTGGCCAAAGGGGAAGGAAAATAGGCTCCCTCTCAACCACACCCTCTAGGCCCTGGATGAGTCCCAAACTCAGGAGAGCCCTCCCAAGCCCTGAGAAAAACGGCAGGTGGTTTAGGATAGCCTGGGTCATCTTCAGGTGCACCCAATATACTGACTGGGGTCCCAAACTGCACTCCAGGGACAGCTGCAAACCCCACTGCCACCACGTGAAGCCCTGCCGCACAGCCTTGGCCACCCTCTGCAGAGGCACGTACCAGGGCGCCTGAGCCCACAGCACGCCGAAACATCCGAAACGGCGTGACTAATATCTGGTGAACTGGAAGCGGGGCAGACACGTGAGCATCACCAAAGTCCTCAAAAACGAGGGGATCCAAGTATTCTGTGCTCCGTAGCCCCAGAGCTCACCGCTGCCCTGAACAGATGCATCAGGAGTCTGGTGTCCAGGCTGGGAGGAGAAGGGCCTCCTTTCTGCTGAACCAAGGTCACAGCTGCCCTCCTCTTTTACCAGTCCAAAGCACAGACTTTCCAGAGTGACTGCAGCTCAAGGGGGGCAGCCTGCCTAAAAGGCACCCTCTCAAATAAGCCCCAGTAGCACGAGGGTAACTCAGGTTGCTCAGGCAAAGGTCACCCCCAGCGCTCGTGATGAAGAAAGAATGCCACAGGGAAGCACTGAACTTAGACAGACGAGGGACAATGCAGGTCAGGCATTTGCTGGCCATGTGACCTTAGGCAAGTTTGAAATGTTCTAAACTTCCATTTTTTTCATGTGCAAAATTTAAATTTTAATACTCTAGTGACCTGTTGTGAAGATTAATGAGATAAAATGCCTAGCATATATAGTACCTGGCACATGTGGGGCATTCAACAAAAGCCACTGATTTTAATATCACCATAAAAATGTTCTTCATACAAACAAGAAAATTATGATATATCACTTCCACCAATCACAAATTGTCATATAGCCCTGGCTGGTGTGGCTCAGTTGGTTGGGTGTCGTTCCGCAAAGCAAAAGGTTGTTAGTTTCATTCCCAGTCAGGGCACAGGCAGGAGACAGCCGCCGATTGGCATTTCTCTCTCACACTGATGTTCCTCTCTCTCTTTCTCCCTACCTTCCCCTCTCTTTAAAATAAACAAATGAAATTTAAAAAATTTTAATATAATGTAAAAACTCTATTAAAAGGAAATATGTATTAAAAATACAGCCTTAAAAAAAATCACAAAAAACATTTAGATAGCAAACTCTGGGTATTTCACCAAAAGTCCTCTGACCCACGATGCACACGTGAATACATCTTTGGAACAAAGGCATCACTGTGCCAATGTACATAAGCCTTAAATGTAAATATGAAATTGAACAAAGGAATCCGATCTCCTGCTGAGGGGACAGAGTGGCCTCTGTTTATTTAGGAAGAGATGTGTTCATGTTGAACTACAAGCAGGGGCCCAGAGAAAGTCAAACATTTAATGTCACAACACAGGTCCACAGAACGATATTTTTAAGTTGCTATTACTTAACATCATTCTGAAAATTCACTAAAGAAGGAAATCAAAATGAGGTACAGAGTACTGGTAAGAAAGACCCAGAATATCTGCCTCAGGAAATCATGGGAATCAACTGATAGATTCAGTAAACATTTAGAGAGGTGGCAGACACAAAGTAACTACAAAAAGCCAACAGAGCTTTGCCATGGCAACAGTAACCACTGCTTCCCAGTGTGTTCTGAGCTGGGACGGTAGGACCCTGGGACCCCAGGACCCCACCCTCTGTCCATTCTATGGGCTGCTGGC